TGGATTTTTCATAATAATGGAATCATACGATATGTGGTCTTTGTATATGACCTCTGTGACTGACTTCTTTCACTGAACATAATGTTTTGAGTTTCTTCCATATTGTGGCATGTATCAGTATTTCATTCCTTTGTATTGCTAAATAATATTCCATTGTATGGTTATACCCCAATTTATTTATCCATTTATCAATTGATGGACATTTGGATTTTTTCCACTTTTCGGCTAATATGAGTAATACTGCTTGAACATTCTGATACAAGTTTTCATTTTCATTTCTCTGGTGGGTGTATCTAGCAGTGGAATTGCTGGATCACATAGTAACTCTATGTTTAACCTTTTATTCACCTTCATTTTTGAAAGGTTATTTAAAAAAATCACATATGGATGCCTTTTCAGCATCTATGGAGATAATAATATGAATTTTTCACTTTTTATCCTATTAATAGGTTAGATTACTGTATATGGTGTTATAGATTTCCAAATATTAAACCATTTTAAGAATATACTCTACTTGATCATGGTGTATTATTCTTCTGGTGTTCTGGTGAAATTGTCAGCTAATATAGTTTTTAGGATTTTTTCATAAACGAGACTGGTTTGTAGCGTTGGTTTTTATTCTATTTTTTGCTTTCTTTGACAGGTTTTAGTATCAATGCTATGTTTACTTCATAAAAAGAATTTTGAAGATTTCCTTCTATTTCTATGTTCTAGAAGAGTTAAATATCTGTTCCTTAAGTGTTTGGTAGAATTCTGCAGAACTATCTGGTGTTTTTGAAGCAGTAATTCTTTGACAACTCTATCGAAATTGGTTGGTTAATATTTCTTTGTCTTCTGGAGTAATTTAGTTAATTTGTATAGTAATAATAAACTGGGTTTCTGGACCAGCCAAGTCAAGGCATCTGAGTACAGTGACAGCATGAAGATCACAACAGCCCAGGATTCATACGGTATGTATTTTTCATGTCTGCCTTCTTTCATTCAGTATATTTTGACATTCACCCACGTTGTTGCACGATAGGGATAATCTTCAAATGGTAGTTTGTTTCTTTTTACTGATTAGTAAATATCCCACTGTACAGATATACCATGATGTATTTATCCATTCACTTGTTGATGGACATCTGGATTGTTTTCTGGTTTGGGTTATTATGAATTAAAGATGCATGGAATATTGTTGCACAGGTGTTGTGGATAGATGGTTTTATTTCTCACGGATAAACACCCAGGAGCGGAATTGCTGGATCACAGGGTAGATGCATGTTCGACTTGTTAAAGAAGTCGCCAAACAGTTTTCCAAAGTGCTGGTTCCATGTTATCCACACAAGGCAGTCTGAAAGCTCAAGTTGCTCCACATCCTTGCCCACCTGGGTGTCCTCGGTCCTCTTCACTCTAACCCTCTGGTGCATGCATACAGATACCTGCTTGTGGCTTTAATTTGCATTTCCCTGATGACAAAGGATATTGGATGAGCACTTTCTCATATGCTTATTGGCTATTTATGTATGTTCTCTTGTGAAGTGTGTGTTCACATCTTTTTCCTGTTTTTTGGCTGTGTCGTTTGTCTTTTTATTATTGAGTTGCAGGAGTTCTTTATTCTGGATACAAGTCTTTTTTTTTTTTTTTTTGGTGAGGAAGATTGGCCCCTGAGCTAACATCCGTACCAATCTTCCTCTATTTTGTATACTGGACGCCTCCACAGCATGGCTTGATGAGCGGTGCGTAGGTCCGCACCCAGGATCCAAACCTGCGAACCCTGGCCCCCCAAACAGATCATGTGAAATTAACCACTACGCCACTGTGCTAGCCCCATGGGATACAAGTCTTTTGTCAGATATATCTGTTATGAGTATTTCCTCTCAGTCTGTGGCTTGCCTATTTCTTTTCTTTCTTTTTTTTTTAATTTTTATTTGTTTATTTATTTTTCCCCCAAAGCCCCAGTAGATAGTTGTATGTCACAGCTGCACATCCTTCTAGTTGCTGTATGTGGGATGCGGCCTCAGCATGGCCGGAGAAGCAGTGGGTCGGTGCACGCCCGGGATCCAAACCCAGGCCGCCAGTAGCGGAGTGCAGGCACTTAACTGCTAAGCCACGGGGCCGGCCCTATTTATTTTCTTGATAGTGTTTTTTGATGAACAGAAGTTTGAAAATTTGAAGTCCGTTTATCAATTTTCTTTAGGGTCTATGCTTTTTTATGTCTTTTCTAAGAAATCTTTGCCTACCAAAAGATTGAAAAGATATTCTCCTATGATTTCTTCTAGAAGCTGTATCAATTTAGTTATGTTTAGGCCTGTGGTCCCTCTTAAATTGAACTTTGTATGTGGTGTAAGGTAGGGATTGAGTCCCCCCCCCCCCCCCCCCACACATACGAACATCTAGTTTTTTCTGCACCATTTGTTGGTGTCCTTGTCAAAAATCAACTGACCCCGTATCAGGCACTCTTGATACCTCTCTAACACTAAGCACCCTGGGTAAAAATGTGTCTCATATAGTCTTCCTGTATTCAAAGTGAGGTCCCAAGATAGGGAGCATCGTATCACCTGAGAGCTTGTTAGAAATGCAGAATCTGGTACCACCAGCCCTACACAACCCCCACCTAATGTGCCTATGTGATTCATAGGCACATTACATTTTGAGAAGCTCGGGTGTAGATAATTTTGGAGGAAGGAGGGAAATGTCATCATGACCTACTCTTCCACTGACAGCCTCCCCATGCACTGCAGACTGCGGGGCCTGTTGACCCATTTTCTCTCCTTGACACGCTAGACTTACTCCCAGACTTAACCTCCGGGTCCCCTGCTCCGATATGTGCTTCATGTTCTTTGCTGCTGGCAGAGAGGGGAGGGGACTCGCTGGCCCACTCCTCACCCTCTAATCCCCACAACCACCTGCTCACTCACCCAGCAGCTCCTGCCCTCTCCTCCATACCCGTTCTTCCACCCCGGAGCCTCGATTTCCTCAATTACAGAGCAGGGATAATAATGGTCTCTCTCTCAGGAGCTAATGTGAGGCGAAGCGATTTGAGGAGTACCTGAGACAGCGCGATAAAAGTCAGTGATCGTGACGGCCGTTTCAGGGCCGGTCCCCCAGGAGAAGCCCCTGCACACGAGCCGCTTTCCCCCGCATCCCCGCGCCCTACACGGGGCAGAATGGAGCCTTGCAGTCTCCCCAGCTCGACTTCTCCCTCCCTTCTCCGCGCCTCGGGGCACCGCGCGCCGATAAATCTCTCCCAGCATGTTGCATTGTTACAGCGAGTGGCCCTCGCCTCTGACCGGTCCTCCGCCCCGGCCTGGGAGTCCTTCAAATCCGGGATCTCTGTCTTGGTTGTCTTTGAACCCCTAGCCCCTGGCACAGTACCTGGAACTTGGAGGGCGCTCAATAAATGTTTGCAAAACCGAATTATATCTTAAGCAAGTGTTCACTCCTCAGCACGGGGGGTGGGGGGGGCGTATGTGCGGGCGGTAAGGACAGAAGAGAAGGCTGGCTGTATGCCCGGGTGAGGGGACACAGGCAGGGGGCTCCTCAGGGCTCGAGTGGGAGGACACTGAGGAGGCGGTACGATGCGGGAGAGCGGAGCCTGGGCCGGCAGAGGGCTGGCGGTGCCAGACGCCAAGGGCTCCCTCCGCTCCTCCCTCTCCTCCTCCCGCGCCCCTGCCGCCTCCTCCTCCCGCGCCTCGCCTCCTCCGGCTCCGCCACCCCCGCCCGGCGCGGCCGAGGCAGGGAGGGGCCGGGAAGGCGGAGCCAGCGGCGGCCGAGGCCCCGGGCATCCGCGCGGCTCCGGGTCGTAGAGCCGAGATCCCGGCGCGCCCAGGTAGGAACCCGCGCGAGGAACAGACAAGGGATGGGGAGCCGCGGCGGGAGGGGCCCGGCGGGGCGGGGAGGATGGGCCGAGACCGCCCCTCGAGCACACGGCAGCCTGGCGGCCCACCGAGCCCCCAGCAGGGGTGGGGGGCTCAGTCCCCGCCCCTCCGCCCCCAGCCTTCCTCCCCGCACCCCCCTCCCCCGGGAGCGCCTCGCTCCTTTCCCGCCGCTCGGCATCCTCCAAGACGGCCCCCGTGCGTCCTCCAGGTTCCCCCTTCGCCCAGCCGCGCTCCTTGTTCATCCCACAGGTTCCTTCCGATAGTGAGCTGGAGTCTGTGCTCGGCCGCTTGGGTGGGGGTTGGGGGGGAGCAGTGGGCGCAGCTCGAAGGAGCCAGAGGGTGAGTCCGGCGTAGAGGGGGGGCGGTGGCTGGAGAGCCGGTACGATTCGTATTTATGCATCTTGGTGGCGCCGGTGCTCGGGCGCAGTGGGGCTGGCTCCGTGTTTGCGGAATGAGTGAATCATTACTCTCCTTGTCCCCTCCGGAGGAGGACTTTTTGAGGTCCACGTGGGGCCTGCTGAGATGGGGCTCCCTCCTCCCGCATAGTAGACACCCGACTCTCATCTCTCCACCTCTCTACCTACGCTCTATGCTGGGGGAGGCTCCCTTCAGGTTGGGGCTTGGGGATGGTGGGGAAGGAGGGAGCTTGTAGGCCCACCCAGGTACTTGTGCAAGTGTGACAGGCAAGGGACTCCCGCGCGGCCTCTTAGAAGGTAACAGGGGAGGGGGGGTGCTGTGGAGGAGAGCACCCACTGTCAGGCAGGGGCCACTTGGCACCTCTGAGACCAGCCTGGAAGGGCCACCAAGTAGGGATGCTGACTGGAAAGCTACTGAACTCCAAGTCTCTGTTTCTTCATCCGTAAAATGGGAATATTAGTATCCATTCCTCAGGGCTCTGTGCAGATTAAGAAAAATGTCATATGAAATCACCCAGCACAATGCTTGGCACATTGGGAGCATTCAGCAAATCTTAGTTTTCTTTCCTTCCTCTCTGAAAAAAGTGAGCAGAGAATTATTTGTTCCCATTGCCTCTGTCCCCAGATTGGTCACAGACGGACACAGCGCATGTGTAATCACTGTTTGTTAAATGAACATGCTTGATGGAGCTTCGTCGCCCCACCCCCTTTCTCTCAGGATCCGCAGGCAGAGCTCGGGATCTGGGATCTGACCAGCACAGACATGCCGGTGCTGTCCGAGGACTCCGGTGAGCGCCTGCCCAGGCCGGGCCTGCTGCAGCCCTGAGCACGAGAGCCTGCCCAGCAGCCCCGGACTGGAGAGAAAGCAGGCTGCTGCCAGTGTCGGCTCGCAGGAGCTGCCCTGCCACCAAGCCCCAGGAATGAGAGCCAAGGGAGAGACTGTCCCCACGGCAGGGCTGAAGTGTTGTTTTGGGGGTCCACTTGGGGTCCCACGGGGCAGGAAGTACCCATTGCGTTTGCTCTACGTTGTTTTGTTGCACTGTCTTCAGGTCTGCATGAGACCCTGGCACTGCTGACCTCTCAGCTCAGACCTGACTCCAACCACAAGGAAGAGATGGGCTTCCTAAGGGATGTTTTCAGTGAAAAAAGTCTCAGTTACCTAATGAAGGTAAAACCCCATTTCATCCCACCTGGTGAAGATTTCTAGAGGTCTTCCTAGCTGACTTTGGCTCATGGAGGTCATGCTAGCCATCCCCCTGCCCCAGGAAGGTTTTCACTAGCCCACTATGCAGGGCTTTCTCTTATGCTGACCCATTAGTGACCCAGTCTACGGCCCTAGGCATCCCCACAGCCGTTGGTGGGCTGTGTGGTGTCCTGGGTAAACCTGGGCAGCTGGCGTGGGAGGTCCCAGCCTGAAATTGGCTCTCTTTGCAGATTCACGAGAAGCTTCGCTATTACGAGAGACAGAATCCAACCCCTGTTCTGCACAGCGCTGTGGCCCTCGCCGAGGATGTAAGCCCCAGGTTTTTCCTTACGGTGTCAGCCCTGCTCCCCACCCCGTAGGCCTCCTTCATCTTGCCTTGTCACCATTACTTAGCCTAGGGACGTCGGGACTCAGGGGCCCAAAAGTGAAGAGGCATCTCCTTCCCTTCTCCTCCTGCTCCCCCCCGGGCCTCCTAACAGGCGGGGAGGAGCTCTTGAGCCTTGGGCTGGGCCAGAGGACCTGATGACCTGATGACTCTCACTGTGTGTTCCCGAGAAAGTCTGTTTCCCCAGCTGTGAAATGAGAGCATTTGGAGCAGATCAGCAGTGCCCAGACTATTGAGGACTGTGGATATGAATAGGTCAAATGAGCACCTTGCATCTGTGCTTTGGGGGGCCCAATGTGAAGTCCTGGGGTCCAGGGACTTGCAGTGCATCCCTACTTACTGGCTCAGCCTTCTCGTTTTTTTAGGGAATGCTTCCTAGTGTCTTGTGGACCTCTCCTCTGTGTTGCCTGGTTTGGGAAAAGCTGTCCTGGTTGATTACTAAGGCCAGCTCCTGAGTAAACTTACCTAACCCGGGAGATGGCCTGGCGAGGATGCTGCTGGCTGCGGGGCAGATCTCCGCGCCTGTCCCACGATGGAGTATGATTAGGGGCATGCTGGGTTGCCAGGCTCCCAGGCTCAGCACGGCCACTACTACTAGCTCTGTGACCTTAAACAGGTCACTCAACCTCTCTGAGCCCCAATTTCCTCATCCGTAAACTAGGGTAGTGATGAGGGCACAGACAAGAGAGGCAGATAAGCCCAGGATCAAATCCTGGCTGTGCCACTTAGAAGCTTTGCGACCTTGGGCAAGATATTTAATCTCTCTCATTTAATTCTCATCTGTGAAATGGCAAAATAATAAGTACCCTCTACATTTAGTCATCGTGACAGTTAAGTGAGAAGGTCCATATAAAGCAAAGTGTCCAGTAAGTGCTTAATAAGTCAGCTGCCATTAGGATCACCCCGTAGAGCTGCTCATGCTCTTCTGACCCCTGGCATGATTTCCCTGGGGGCGTGAGTGCTGGGCGGCTGAGGGTCCGATGCACCCCTGGGTGCTGTAGCAGGTGCTGGGAGGGCCCTGAGACTCCCAGCAGCTTGAAGCTCTGGCAGCCGACTGTCTGCAGCTCTCTGTCTCCTTCCCCTCCAGGTGATGGAGGAGCTGCAGGCCGCCTCCGTGCATGGTGACGAGAGGGAGCTGCTCCAGCTGCTGTCCACCCCCCACCTCAGGGTAGTCATGCCGCAGTCCCTGCCCACCCACGCGTCTCGTGTCTCCTGGGATGGGGGCAGGAGGGAGCGCTCGGCCCTGAGCCTGAGGAAAGGAGACTTCTGAGGGAGGCCTCCTTGGCGCCAGTGTCTGGGGTGGTTGTCTCTCTGGCATGAGATCTGAGACCCCCAAACCCTGACCCCTGTGAGCTTGGAGTCAGCCCTTCTTTTCTCTTGCTTTCCTGACAGGCCATGCTCATGGTCCACGACACGGTTGCCCAGAAGAATTTTGACCCTGTCCTCCCCCCTCTGCCTGATCATATTGACGAGGATTTTGAGGAAGAATCGGTGAAGATTGTCCGCCTGGTGAAGAACAAGGAACCCCTGGTATGTGGCACCCACCTCTCTTCCTCATCCTCTCCCCCCTCTCCCGGTCTCCTACCCCCACTCACCTAGAAAACTGGGAAGGGACCCTCCTGAAGTCTTCAGAGTGAGAGATGGCAGCTTCTTTGGGGCTGCCACTAGTTCCTGTGACACCTTTGTTTGCAGGATACCCCTTTCTCTGGGTGGATACAGCCTCCCTCAACTGCGGCCAAGCTCCTTTGTGTAGTGAATAACTGGCACAGCTGTACGAGGCAGCCTGATCATCATGTTCTGAACAAGAGGTTGGCAAACTATGGTCCAAGGGCCAAAACCAGTCCACTGCCAGATGTTGTAAATAAAGTTTTATTGGCACACAGCCATTCCATTCATTTACGTATTGTCTGTGGCTGCCTTTACATTGCAACAGCAGAGTTCAGTAGTTGTGATGGAGACTGTGTGGCTGGCAAAGCCTAAAATATTTACATTGGGCCGTTTACAGAAAATGCTTGCCAATCTCTGCCCCGAAGACTGAGGAAGCACAGGGCAGCAGCCATTCTTCTCCACAGCTGACAGATTGCTAGCGTTTTGGTCCTGGTTCAGCATTTATTTACGAAGCAAAGGGACAGGGTTGTTTATGTGATGGAGGGAAGTAGTGGAAGCCAGAGAATTGAGTGCCTGCCCTGGATAATACCACAGCTGGCTCTCTTCATTTTCACCTTTCCCAGATAACCTCAGATGAACCACTTCTGCAGACAGACAGGATCCTTCCTCTGCCTCTATTTCCGTACCTTCAAAATGGGGCAGTCATCCATCGGCTCAGCAAACACATTGTGAGCCCTCCGGGGTGCCAGGCACTGTGTGGGGAGCTGGCAGTTCAGAGACGATTAAGACTTAGTCCTTGCCCTCTGGGAGTTCACAGGAGGGAGCGGCCAGGGGTTTCCTGGAAGAGGTGATGCCCATGCTGAATTCCAAAAAAAAGAACAGGAGTTTTCCAGAAGGAAAAGGGAGAGGAAGGGCGTCCCACACAGTAGAACTGCATGAGCAGAGCCATGGGAAGGTAAACGGCATGGTGGATTCAGGGGGCTCTGAGTGGCCTTGGGTAGACACAATGCAAGTGTGGGGTAAGGAACCGCAGAAGTGAGGCCAGCTCATGGGAGCTGATAAAGAACCTGATTGTCCACACACAGCTGCTTAGCTCGACCCCAAAGGCCATGGGGAGCCATTGAAAGATTTTAAGTAAGAAATAACACGACCAGACTTGCAGTTTAGAAAGATCATCCTGGCTCCCAAGTAGAAAGTGGCCTGGAGGGTGAGGCCAGAGCAGAGGACTGATTTGAAGGTAAGGGCCAGATCCTGAGGCTCAGAAACAAGGCTTGACCTAGGCCTGTGGAATAGGGAAGAGAAATCCAAGAAATATTGCAGAAATAGAATTAATGTGATTTGGTGACTGCCCCAGTTTGGGCAGGAGTCTGGGGAGGCGCCTAGGATAATGCCCAGGTGTCCAGCTGGGACACTGGTGGGCACTGGGGTCATCATTCAAGAGGGGAAATAAGGAGGAGCTTAGGGTCTGTTGAATTCAAGGGCCCGTGTGACTGGCAAGTGGAGATGAACAGAAGGTGGAAGGCTTGTGTGTCCAGAGATACAGACTTGGAGCATCCAGAAAGGGGTTCAAACCCATGCCGAGAGGTTGAGGCCACTCGGGTAAAGAGTATACAGTGTGAGACAGTAAGAGGGCAGGGGTGAGACTCTGGCCCTTTCATCAACATTTAAAAGGCAGATAGAGAAAGACTCAGCAAAGGAGACGAATTGTCATTGAGAAGAACTGGGAGAGAGGTGTCACCAGGGCCCAGGCTAAGAGAGAATTCCATGGGGAGGGCAAGCCCCAGAATCAGACAGGAGGGAGATCAGAGGAGAGAAGACTGAGGGTGGTGGTGGCGCTGGCAGCTGGCAGGTCGTCGGTGCTTTTGCTGGTGTGTTTGAGGTTGCAGGGGGTAATTGACCCGGAGGGCAGGGAGCAGAGAGTGCAGACACACCCTGCTTCTTATAAGAAGTTTGCTCCAAAGGAACAGAGACTGGCTGCTGGTGGGTGGAGGGTGCAGGCTTTTTAATGATGGGAAAGACTTGATAATATTTTTAGGAGCAGGAGAAGGAGCCAGTAGAGATGGGACATTGAGATTGCGGGAGAGGGAGGGAGGGGATAGAGGGACCAGCCTAGACAGGAGGAGCCCCTCCGCTGAGATGGGGGAAAGGAGGAAAGGATGGACAGAGATGCTGGAAAGTTTGAAGGTCTAGCGGGCAAGAAGCCACAGAGTTCTTAGCCGATGGCCTCTCTTTCTAGCAATAGTTATCTTACGTACAGTCATGCGCCATATGCCAACGTTTTGGTTAATGACAGACCACATAGACGACGGTGGTCCCATAAGATTAGTAACATACAGCCTAAGTGTGTAGTAGGCTATACCATCTAGGTGTGTGTAAGTACATTTTATGATGTTTGCACTACAACGAAATCACCTAACAATGCATTTCTCAGAACGTGTCGCCATCATTAAGTGACACATGACTGTACTTCAAATAGGTGACACGAATGAAGTTAACAATAAGTGTGCCAATGTGTTTGCAGTTACAACCAATAATAAATGGTTAGCATCTATTGAGTGCTCACCGTGTGCTAAGTGCCTTGCGTGCATTACCTGATGTCATCCTTGCAGCAACCCTGTTGAGTTAAATGCTGTCCCAGAGGAAAGAGACTCAGAGAAGATAAGGGACGTCCTCGCTAAGGCCGCATGGTTTTAGTAAATGGCAGCGTGGATTCAAACCCAGGGCCATCTGCCTCCAGAGCTTAGCTCTCCGCCTGCCCACTGCCCTGCCCCGCCACAGTCCAGCGTGCACAGTGCATGAAATTGAGGGCTCATTAGTGCCTTTCTCATCCTAGACATCACCTCTGCTGCGCTTCCTGGGCCAAGTCCTGGTCCTGGAGCTCTGGCTGGGGCATAATTGATTCCCCTCGGCAGCAACAGGAGGCCTAATAATCCTGTGATTGGTTCGAGGCAGGTTGAGAATTTGCTGGCACATATTCTCCTCATTATTAAATGTCTTTGCAGGAGGCAAGGGCTGGGATATGTCAGAGAAGGCACTGAATTCAGCATCACAAAAAGCTTTACTCCTTACCAGCGGGTGACCTTGAGGATGCTTACCTTCTCTGAGCCCCAGTCCCTTACCTCTAATGAGACTGTCACAGCGTTGTTTGCTTTGTTTAAACTGTAACATGCTGTACTGTACTACTGCAAGATGTTGGTTTTATTGCATCTTCAGCACTGGAAAGATCCCCGCTGATCTGCCCTCTAGGGTGGCAGAGGGAGAAACAGGAGAAGCTCTGTTGGGTCCAGAGAATCTAGGGCTGAGGTTTGGGGCTGCTTCTTAGGAGCCTACCTGCTCTGTCTCCAATGCAGGGCGCCACCATCCGGAGGGATGAGCACTCAGGGGCTGTCGTGGTGGCCAGGATCATGCGAGGGGGTGCAGCAGACCGGAGCGGTGAGTGGCATCAATGCCAGCCTGGCCGAGGTGATGGCCGTTGTCCCCTGGCCTGCCCTTTTGGCCACAGGTCTCCTTTCCCTCTCCTAATCTGCTCACCTGTTTGGGATATGCTTTGCTTTCTGGGAGTGGAGCTGGAATTCTCTTCCCAAGCCCGGTAGAAATCTTAATTGTTTGAAAATATCTCAGGCATGGAGCACGTTGGGGGTGATCAGAAGGGCTCATGCGTTGGCTTAGCCCGAGGACTGTGGTGTGAAGCATCCAGCATGGGCTTGGCGGGTAATTCCTAGTGGGGGCAGGGACACCCTTTCCCCACACGCCGGTTCCACTGTTACTGAGGGGAGGATGTTTATGTCCCAGATTTTTTGGATGGAAAACAAATGGAGAATCACTGGTGTGTGGAAGAACTACTCAGTTGGGAGGCAAACCTCCTGGGGTAGGGGAACGTTGCCCCAAAAGTCTGGGGAATTGTGAGGATCCTAGAGCAGCACTTCTCAAACATTAACAAGCACAGGACCCACCCCCGGCCCCCAGCATCTTATTAAAATGTAGATTCTGAGATTCTGATTCAGCAAGTCTTGGGAGGGCCCAAGATTCTGCACTCCTAACCACCTCCTGGGTGATGTTGATGCTGCTGGGCCAGTGTCCACTTTGAGTAACAAATACGCCAAATATGCAGAGATGCTTGTCATTAAAGCCAGCAGACCGGTGTTTAACTCTTGACAACATCCTCCCTGGTGTCCTTAAGTTTCCTTGTTAAGACTTGAGAAGAACATTCTTGGAGTATGTCTGTAAACCCAGGAAGGTGAAGAGTTAATGATATTTTTAAAGAAGCAGAGGTTCTAGCAGAAAGAGCACAGCCTTTCCGCATCAAAAGAACTGTGTCTGAACCCTGGCTCCATTATTTCTTAGCACTGTGGCCTTGGGCAAGCTGTGTAATTTTTCTGGATCTCTGCTGCCAAGTTGTAAATTGCAGGTTTCCCTGGGTGGTTATGAGGCTGTGATGCCGAGGGAGGCACCCAGCACGCAGTAGGGCCTCGGTTCATCCCAGTTCTACTCAACCATCTTTAAACCTTGAGTCTGCCGTGCAGCGGGTTCCTAAGGTGGGCCCCCGCGGTGCCCAGAGCTCTGAGTTCTGGGGGCTGAGGCCCCCTTCCTGTGCTGATGACCAGCCCCTGTCTCTTCTAGGCCTGGTCCACGTTGGAGACGAGCTCCGAGAAGTGAACGGGATTGCAGTCCTGCACAAGCGGCCGGACGAGATCAGCCAGATTCTGGTCCGTGCTGCACATGTGGTTGGGGGTGTGGTGGTTCTCCGGGGGCCCAAAGCAGGGTGCTTCCTGGAGCCAGGGCATATCTGGCTCAGTCTTCTTGTTTTCATGGGGAGGCTGCAGGCAAAGTGGCCCTACAGTGTGCCCAGGGTGCGGGGTGGGGGCTGGGAGGAGTGGAGCATCCAGACCCCCTGCCTCTCTCAGACCCCCTCTTTAGCACACCATCGCCCTCCCCCCAGCTCCCTTTCCCGAGGATCCTTCTGGGAGACCCCCTTAAAAGGGTCCCCTCTTCCAAAGGGCCGAGGAATGTGGAGTACAAAGCTGAGCACAGGGAGGACCGAGAGCAAGGGCTTTGGTGTCAGCTGGTCCTGGGTTCGAATCCCACCTCCATCACTTTCTAGCATGCAGCTTTGGACAAGTCATCGAATCCTTCTGAGTTTCAATTTCCTTGCCTGTAAAGTTTGGATAGGGATGGTTTCTCAACCAATGTATGGTTATCATTAGGATGTAGACATCTGGGAAAGGATGTAGCACTTCACAAGCGTAAGGGGATTCTAGAGTGTTAAATGCTGGGACCAGAACAACCTCCTGAGTCCATTCTGGGAGTTCAAGTCAAAACTGAAATTGTAAAAAGCCCCAATCATAGTTTTGTTCTGTTTATCCCCATGCGTTCTCCCCAGACATGACACTTTGCTAACTTCTCATGGTCTAGAGGGCAGAACCAGGATGCTCTGAAGAGAGGAGGCCCTCTCTTTGAGGCCCCCACTGTAGGGGACGCTGGTTGCAGGCAGGCCCTTCAGTCTCCCTGCCCCCACTGCCCTTTCCCTGGTTCTGGGCACCCACTGCCTAGTGTTGCAGAGCAAAGCAGGGCCGGGGAGACATTGGGCGAGATATGCTTTCATGGGCTGACAGCATTCTTCCTCGTGGGCCCCCCACATGGGGGTGCAGGGCTTCTGTTGGATAGAGGCAAGGGGAACCCCTGGGAAGGTCAAAGGCCTGAGATTGGATAGCCCACTGGGGAAGCAAAGAGGGAAGTTCTGACCGGGGACCAGCCCCAAATCAGGCAGGAAGGAGGAAAATGAAGCTGAACTAAGTTATTAAAATAACACTAGAGAAAAGAAAGAAGGGCAGCCTTCGGGGGCACTAGCAGTCAAGGGGGCTGGCGAGTTGGAATTCAGTGCCTGCATTGTCCTCAGGTTCTCATTTAAAATCTTCGGTCCGTTTGTCCCATGAAAATGCAAATGCTTGGTTTCTGAGTTCTGCTTTAGTTAATTCAACCCAGTGCCACCACAGAAGGGTGGGCCACAGGAGAGGCAGTGAGTCTGACTTTCCTTCTGAACGTGAGTGTTCAGACCTGGGAAGTAAGACATGAACTCATGGAAGGTTAGACCTGGAAGATAATAAGCCTGTGCCCTCTCTCCCTTCAGGCCCAGTCCCAGGGATCCATCACCCTGAAAATCATTCCAGCCACCCAGGAGGAGGACCACTTAGAGGAGAGCAAGGTATGGCAGGGCTGGAGCGGGGGAGGGCTCAGCCCAGCCTTTGAAAGAGTCATTCGGGAAGAGATCGTGCGTCTGGTCCTCAGAGCGTGTGCTCAGTAGAGAACTGTAATTCAGTCACAAAGTGACTCATTTATTTGTACCCTGCCTCTTTCTAACCAGGATTTGACGTAGCTCACTAATAAAAGACAAGGTTCTTTTAAGTGAAGTAGGAAGTCGGGGTCATGAGGAAGAGAAGGAACAAAATGTGCTGGCTTTGGGACCAATTAAGTAGCTGCCATTTGTTTAATTCTCTGTCGAGCCTACCTTTTTTGGGCGCCTCTTCTGTGCCAGGTGCTCTGCCAGATGCTGGAGACGGGGACGGTTAGTAGCTTTGAGGATCCTGGTTCAGAAGAGGAGACGAGGAGCAAGACTTTCCTTGCTGTGTGATAAGTGCTTCACAAGGATTCTGTGCAGAGGTAGAGGCGCCCTGGAAGGTGTCGCATAGTAGGGGTGTTGGACATGAGGCTTGAGGAAGGTGCAGATGAGTAGGACTTCCCTGGTGAGGAAGAAGTGGAGGGACGTTCAGGCAGAGAGGCTGTGTATACAGAGGCTCAAAGGAATGGAGAGGAGTATGGTTGGGAGTTGGTGAGAACTGTGAGGGGGCCCCAGGGGGTGGGTTGTGCTGGGGAGGTGGGTCAAGGCTACCTTTTGAATGGCCTTGAATGCTTTGGTAAGGGTTTTGTCACAATCCCTACTTAGTTTGGGGTTCAGAAGCCAACCCTGAGGCAAAGATTCGAGTACAAATAGTTTATTTGGAGGTGACCCCAGGAAACACCTGGACAGGAGTGGGGAAGGGAAGGCAGCCAGTGCAACAAAGGGTGTGTTATTAAGCAAGTTACCACTGTGGGCTTAATCCTGCTGGAAGACTCAGGATCCCCTGTAGACTCCTGCCTCCGTCCTCCCACCCAAGAGCCAGAGGAGCTGGGGGAATCTATGCACCGACTCCCGCCAGGCTGCGCTTGGGGGTTAATTCCCCGCAATTCCTGTCTGTTGGGTTAGGGTAGAGCAGATCTCAGTGGCCAGAGAAAGCTCTTGGGCAAAGAGGTGCCAGTACTGTAGCTGGAAGTCAGCCCGGGGTGCACTGAAATGGTGAGGCCCCGCAGGATATGGAAAGGCACCCCACAACCCAAGTTACAACCCCATAGGCGGTGGGAAGCGCTTAAAGGTGTTTTGTTGTTGTTGTTGTTGTTTTAAAGAGGGGAGTGGTGCAACCATATTTGTGTGTTAGAAAGCTCCCTGGGACAGCTGCCTGGAGGAGGGTGGGGTGGGGGGGACTGGAGGCAGGGAGACCTGGCGGGACGCTGTTGTAAAAGCCCGGGGGAGAGATTATTAAGACCTGAGCTGAGGTGCTGGTAGAGAGGACGGAAGAAGGCATTACTTTGATTTCAAATAAATTTGGATCTGAACTTCTGGCAGCCAAGGCAGAAAGGAGAACTCAATGAATTACATACTTTCTTCATCAGTGGGTAGAAGGAAGCATGCCAATTTTTCAAGAAAGCTGATTCCCAGCCACCACCTCCCAGTACTAAATGCGTGAAAAAAGGGGCATTACAACACCTGGTGCAGAGTAGATGTCAATACTTATTTTGATGAAGGGGGATTAATAATGGACAATGTCTTTGATGTCAGTTTTCTACAGCAAATGAAGACATAATCTTTACATGGCTTGTTTCTTATTTGCACTCTTCTGTTGAATCCCAGGGCATACATAATATGGACTCTTACCTGAGGGAAGGTAGTTCTTCTTGGGACAAGCTCACGTGGTCCCCATAGGCAGCTTTTGTAGGTTCTAACTTGAACAGGGAGAGAACTTGGTTTTCCTGGAGGACAAAATGGGTCACCTGTCCCTTAGCCCATCCTTCCTAAACATTTCGTCTTGAGCCAGAAGCTTGATCTGGGCTGACCATTTAGGATTATACTCTCTTCTGCGTGCCTCGGACCCTGGTAACATCTACGGCTGGATGAGGGTATCTGTCCTCACAATATCTGGCCAGAAAGTTCTTACAGTTATCCAGCTGAATCTAGGAATATGATTTGGATATGTCTAAGGAAGTCCTCTGGCCTTTTTTTTTTCTATTTGCTATTAATAGAAATAAATAAAATAAATTTATGCCACTGAATTATAGAAGAGAACAAGGAAGTATGATAAAATGCTGTGTCTTCCCACCATCTTCTCCAGAGGAGGTGACTTCAGGGTAAAGGGGAGAGTTGGGGGCTGGCCAAGTATGTGACAGATGAGGCAGGATTGAGCTGTAAAAACTGTGGATGTCAATTACCCACTGAAAAGTCACGATGAGGAATCAGTAACAGTAGTTTTGTTGATATTCGTGTTCTTACCAAATCGTCTAGATTAGTTACTTAACATGTGGTTGCTGACTTCATTAGGGGCAGTTAGCATCTCAGAAATAACATTGGAAATAACATTACTTTTTGTTCCCAGGACGGATTGTTGCTTTATGTATGCTAAGGGGCTATTATAGGATAGCAGATCAGGTAAATGAGGAAATATTTAGGTTGGAAAGAGAAATTCAGACATGGGGACTATCTATTCATTTTCTGATTCTTGTTGGATTTTCTGGCTGTAATATTTAAAATGGTTGAAGAAGAAGAAAAAAATATGTGTGGTGTGTTTCTGATTAGCTTTCTATTCTGAAGGCTACTTGTTCTTTTTAATTGTGAACGGTCATTGTCATTTGGCCTTCGATGCGGCATAGACACATCTTTGCTTACACGGTGAAGGGCCGCCTCACCCAGCCCCTCCTCTGCAGGTGTTCATGCGGGCTCTCTTCCACTACAACCCTCGGGAGGACCGGGCCATTCCCTGCCAGGAGGCTGGCCTGCCTTTCCAGCGCAGGCAGGTCCTGGAGGTGGTGAGCCAGGATGACCCCACGTGGTGGCAGGCCAAGCGAGTTGGAGACACCAACCTTCGAGCTGGCCTTATTCCCTCCAAGCAGTTCCAGGAAAGGTGGGTCTGGGGTGTGTTGTAAGGGGTGGTTCTGGAGTGGCCAGAGGTATAGTTACATGACAAAGCTCCAAATCTCTGCCACCACAGCCAGAGGGACCCACTGTGTGTTGTTCCCTAAGGTAAGTACTAATTGCACTTGTGTTTTTTCTTCTTGACCTATAACCAGCGGTGATGACTGTTTGAGATTTAAATAAATATATAGAAATCTGTTATTAAATTAATGTATATTTTAGAATACATACTTAGAGGAAGTTGGGAAATAAAATATAAAAATATAGAGGAGGAGGGGGAGGAAAAGAAAATTACCCAATGTCTCGGCACTATCTAAACAGCATAATTTATTTCCTTCTTATGCCTTTTATGTGTGTTACATGTAGAATTTGAGGTCTTGCTTTTATTTTAACTTAACATTTTGACATTGGTATTTCCATATTATCGCCTGTTCTTTATTGTGTGATGTTAGTGGTTAAATAATATTTCATCGGGAGATATACCATTTATTCACAGGCAGCTGGTATTTATTATGAACTGAGCTGGCCTGTGCCAGGCCTCTTGTGGGCTGCTGTGATCCCATGGTTTCTACTCTGGAGGAACTTACAGTTTAGCGGGAAAGTCACACGGTTCAAACAAACACTTTATATAAATGTGATGGGTGAGAGGGAGGAGGACGCGGTGCTCTGCAAGGTAACGGTGGGAGGATTGGCCCTCGTCCGGGCATGCAGGGAAGGCTTCTCCAGGAAAGGTCGTAGCCAAGTGGCTTCACTCCTTCTCTGTGGCTGAACTTTTCAGTCGTCCCCAGGGCTTCACTGCTACAAGGCTGCGATAATGATCATCACATGTTTCAAATGAGTTCCCAAAGTGTAAATCCTGGGTCAGAGGGGGTGGTAGTGATGACTGCATTGCCTCCCCTGAGGTTTGTAGCCGTCTTCCATCCTTTGGGGTCTGGAACGTGGTAACGACAGACCTCAGGGTTCATCTGTTTCAGTGGCCTCTATGGAGTCGTCCCCAGGTGTGCCCCAGGCGCATCAGCATCCCCTGGGAACTTGTTAGAAATGCAGATCCCTGAGCCCCGCCCCGGCCTGCTGAATCAGAAACTCCATGAGCAGACTCTCAGATCTGTGTTCTAACAGATGTTCCAGGGGATCCTGAGGTGCTGAAGTTTGAGAATTGCCGCTCTATTTCCTCAGGGAAGCCTCAGACCCATCTGCATCTTTGGCTTCACAGGTCTTGGGGGAAAGCTCTTTAGTTGCATTTAAGTGTGGAAATCTAGACTCCTCCAAGAGCCCTGGGCGTTTTCTCTGCTCAAAGATGAGGCTTCAGCGGCTGCCTCTCCACTGGCGGCCATATTGGATAATGCGCCAGGCTGAGCTCTCCACTGGGGGGAGAAGGGTGTTAAATTAGCATCACGTTTGCCCTCGGCCTCTCCCGGAAGCCGTTCTGCCATTTTCCAGCTTCCTCAGAGATGGGAAGGCCGAGTGAGAGTGGAGAAGGGGCCTCCCTTCCTTGAGAATCAGTCACAGGAAAGTAACGACCAGTCACTGACCATGGGCACTGGCCTGGATCCCTGGGTGTGACCACCCTGGGCTGGGCGAGCTTCTCCCAGAGACTCTGACCCGTGAGTGCCTGTGAAAGTGTCCCTCTTCACTGGAACTCAGTGCAAAGCAGGAGGCCCTTGGAGTGCCAGGCTGTGCCCACCTTTGGGATCCAGGTCTTGGTTTCCTCGAGTTTTCCAGAAGCTTCCCTCTGACTGGTTCTCTGGCCCAGCTCATGGGCCTGCCCATCCCCTTGTGTCCCTGCAGGCGACTAAGCTACCGGAGAGCCACAGGCACCCTGCCAAGCCCCCAGAGCCTCAAGAAGCCCCCCTGTGAGTAGACTGGCAGGGATGGCACTTCAGGGAGGGGCCGGAGTTAGGGCTCAGGGACTTCGTGCTGGGAAGAAGCAGGCACTGGGCTGTAGCTCACAGGCCTCCAGAGGAAGGAGGGGGTGGGGAGAGGCATGAGAGGGGGAAATGGGGGTGAGTTGGGGGTGAGCTATTCCCTGAAGAGGGCTTCTCTTTTTGGGGTCCATAGATGACACTGGGGGACATGGTAACACCTCTCCCAAAATTGTGTGCAAACTTTTGTGTGTGTGTGTGTGTGTGTGTGTGTACGTGTGTGTGTGTCTCTGTCTGTGAGAGAGGCCATAACTTTCATTAGATTCCTGAGGGGCTCTCTGACCCTGACAATTTAAGAACCCCTGATGTTGGAAGGGAATGGAGATGGCTATGAGTGATCTCATGCCTCTGTGTTAGTGGCCAAATTTGGCAAATAAAAATAAAGGATGCCTAGTTAAATTTGAATTTCAGATAAACAGGAAATCGGTTTTTAGTATATCCAATGCAATATTTGAGACATACTTATACTAAGAAGTTCTTTGTCGTTTATCTGAAATTCAAATTTAACTGAGTGTCCCGTATTTTATCTGGCAACACTACTCTGTCTAGCATTTTACCTTCTAGAAAACACATCCACGTACCTTCTTGCCTTTTAATCGTCACAACAGCCCTGTGAAGTGATGGAGTCGGGGCGTCCCCTTTTCCAAGATGGGAAAACGGAGGCTCATGAGGTCAAGGGATGGGGGCTAGGGTCGCCTTTTCAGGGGGCCTGTGGCCATAGCTGCCAGGTTAGAGCCCCCTATGGAGAGGAAGCTTCCCCAGGGTCAGGCCTCCCTGGCCGGTGGGGGGCTCGGAACCGAGTGAGAGGTCTGAACGGGCGCCAGGTGACCAAGGCACAGCTGGCCTGCAGCTCTGCTCTGCGCTGCTCCATCCTCTGGCATCTGCATTTCCCCATGCAAGTCTCAAATCTCAGAAAAGAGAGAGCAGGTCCTGGTCGCACTGCAGGCGTCCTAGAGTGGGCTGCTTCCCTGGCTTGGGGGCCGCTGCCCATGGCCCCTTTTCTAGACCTGCTCTCTAGTCGGAAGCGTTGCTGAGTAATTTGGCCTTGAGGCTGCCTATGCCAGTGATGAGCTGGCTTTCTTGGGGCCGCTAATGAGACACACACAGGAAGACTAATTAGAGCAAGTCTTGGTTTAATAATGCACCGCAGCTCGGATCACAGGCTTGTTGGAGGAAAGAAAGAGGGGACAGATGGAGGGCTCCTCAGGCTCACGAGGCTGCGGCTGCCTCTCAGCCGTAGGGCATCCCGGTTCCCCTTCACTAATGCTGTTCCATCTGTCTTTTGTGCAAACCGCAGATGATCAGCCTTGTGACAAAGGTAGGCCGGTATTTGTCCCCTGTGCATACGGACAAGGTCCCTTTTCTGTGGAATATCTGGGGCTGGAGGGGCTTGTTTCCTCCCCTGCCCTGGGGTGGCTGTGCCCCTCTGGCTCTTTTCATACCTCTCCTTGCTCTGCCACCCGGACCAGCTTGTTTCCTTGGGGCATCAGAGCTGGTGGGGACAGAGCTCCTCTCTGCCCGCCTGGCACGCTGGGCCCAGCCATCCCCGGACCTGGGCCAGGCTGACTGTGGGCTGAGTAGGAGGCAAGAGACAGGAAGGTGGGGCAGGGGAGTGGATCTCCCCTCTTTATTCACTCGGATCCCAACTCACAGGGGCTGGGGCAGGGCCTGGAAAGGCCGTTTGGGGCCTAAGCACAGAGAACTGAGTGAAACAGAAGAATTTGTTTTCCTGGGGGGGCCAGGACATGGCATTTCTTCCGAGCTCCCCTGAGACACCATCCCCGAGGGCTCTGCCTGGCCATCCCGGGCCGGGTACCCCTGGGCCAGGGTGTGTCCAGCGTGGCTCACTGGTCTCCCTCTCTCTGTTTGGTTCCCAGAGACCTGTGACTGTGAGGGGTACCTCAGAGGGCACTACGTGGGTGAGTAGCAGGGCTGTCTCCTCAATACCCTCTCCCCCTGCCCCCCCAGGCACAGTCCACTTCGGGCTCCTGGGTCAGGAAGAGAAAGGCAGAGTGATAGGAGACCCAGGAACCCTCCGAGAGCAGCTGGGCCTGTGGGACCCGCAATTCCCCTCAGTCTCTGTCAGGCAGAGGAGGGGCTGACTTACCCAGACCTTGGGGCCCCTCACCCCAACTTTCACCCAGCCACTGGGATCAGAGCCCTGGTAGGAAAGGGACATGGACCCCTATGTTAATACCGATTTTATTGTTATCGTGATCTCAACTATATCTATTCAAAGTTTACGCCACCCCCGTGCAGTAAGGGAGCCTTTTCCCGGTCTCCAAAGTGCCTTCACTTTTTTTTGGTCAATCTTTTCAAAGGGCTTTGAGACAGGCAGAGTTTTTTAACTTTTCATTTTGAAGTAATTTCAACCTTACTGAAAAGTTGTAAGAATTGTACAAAGAACTCCCATATACTCGACACCCGGGTTCAGCAGTTAACACTTTGCCGTATTTGTTTATCCGTCCCTTTTCCTACACATGCGCATTTTCTTCCTGAGTCATGTGAGAGCTAGTTGCAGACATCCTGTCCCTTCACCCTAAATCCCTCAGCATGTGTTTCCTAAGGACAGGACATTCTCTTATATAACCCGGGGCAGTTATCAAATTCTGGGAATTGAACATGCATACAATTCTATTATCTAATATACTGTTCCTATTAAAATTTGGCCAGTTGTCCCAATAATGTCCTTTAGAGCATTTCCCCCGATCCAGGCTCCAATCCAGGATCACACATTGCGTTTGTAGATTTGTGTTCCCATTTCACAGATAAGGGAATTGAGGCTCAGAGAGGTGATGACTTGCCCGAGGTCAGTGACCTGCCAAGTAAAACTGTGACCTTCAACCCTAATTTTTGGATGTCAAGGGTCACCATTTCATCATATTGCTGTGCATCCCGACCAACCCCTTCCTGTAGCGGGAGGCGGTCGGGAGAGGCCAGTGGGACTCAGCCCCCTATCCAGGTCAGGCCAGGTGGAGAAAGTCTTGCCTGGGAGATCCTGGGACGAATACCACGATTCCCCTGCCCTTCCCCCAAAGCTGGTCTTCGGAGGAGCTTCCGGCTGGGCCGCAGGGAGAGACTGGGAAGCCCGCAGGAAGGAAAGGTGTCCTCGGTAGCTGAGTCTCCAGAGCTGCTGACCTACGAGGAGGTGACCAGATACCAGCACCAGCCCGGCGAGCGGCCCCGCCTGGTGGTTCTGATCGGTAGGTGACATCCTAGGTCTCTGGGGAGTGGGCTGGTTTCCTTCCTGGAGGGGTGGGAAGGGAGCTCAGCAAGAACCCCAGTCAGCCTTCCCTCTGTTTCCCAGGGTCTCTGGGAGCCCGACTGCACGAGCTGAAGCAGAAGGTGGTGGCAGAGAACCCACAGCACTTTGGTGTTGCCGTTCCACGTAAGAGGGCCCTCATGGGGGCACCCATATGAATATTTCATGGGGACTTGATTCCTCATATTCATCCTAATCCTTACTTTGAGTTTGAGGGACTGCCAGGCACTACCTGCTATAGGCAGATCATGGGATGTAGGCATGATGGGAAGAGACCCACTCTCAGCGGTCCACTAGGACCCTCTGAGGCAGATGCTGGAGGACCACTTGCCCAGCTCCTGCCTGGGATGGGAGATGAGTCTAGAGCACATTGCAGGCAAAGTAGCAACCTCAGTCCGACACCAAGGGCCCCCAGCATTGGGGCATTCCAGACTCCTTCCCAATGACTCTGACTCCTGTGGCCCCTGCTTTCTGCTTGGGTAAGAGAGCAGGTTAGGGAAACCAGGGAGCCCGGTGAGCGATATTGCTTGGGCACTCCCTTGTAGCTGGATCTGGCCCATCAGGGTGGCTGGGTACACTCCTGAGTCTGGAGGCAGCGGGAATGCTGAAATTCAGTCGGTGGGGGTCCTGGTTCTGAATGTGATGAGGAAGAGGAGAATGAAGAGTGCTAGGAACTAGAGCTTTTATGTGCAGTAACTCGGTCAGCCTTGCCAGTACCCCTGAGAAGAGGAATTACTATCATCCCATACTGCAGAGGAAGACACTGAGGCTCAGAGAGGTTGAGTAACTTGCCCAGTGTCACATAGTTGGTAAGTGGGAGAGCCAAGATTCAAACCTGGGCAGCCTGCCCCAACCACATTCTTAACGAGGCTGCACAACAGCCTCTCACCTGCTGCCTGCCACTTCCTGTCCTTGGCTGTCCCTTTCCTCTCTAGGACTCTGTCAGTCCCTCTGGCCTCTGAGGGATGCAATGTGGCACCTGGTGGCCACTGAGAGGAGATGCTATGGCAGCAGTAACACACCTGTCCAGAGTGTTCTGAAGAAGAATAATTACAAAGCCTTTCTCTTACCATACCCTTCCCCTGGGCTCAATCTAGGGGTTGTGAGAATTGTCTTCCGGAGCCCTACCTGAAGTGGCAGGGATGGGGGCGGGTGGCGGGGTTTGGGAGGCCACTCTGGCAGCACACCTGTGATGGACCTAGTAGGCTTCAGGGGACCACCACCTTCCAGGCTGATAGAATGGACTGAAATGGGACATGCAGAAGTTGCTCACAGATGGATCCTTCAGAAACCCTCAGACCCATCTCCTGGAGGATGGCTACCTGGATGGTCAGGCCTACTGCTTCCAGGCACCTCACAGACTTCCCCCTTGCTTTTAGGAACTGAGGGTGTCAGGGAAGGCTTCCAGAGGCAGTGACTTTTATGCTGGGTTTTGAAAAGTAGGAGTTTTCCAGGCAGAGAAGAAAGGAAGAGTTCTCTATCCAGAGGGAAAAACATGCAAAGGGGCGAAGGAGCAGCCCAGGGTAGCAGCGTTAGGGACTGGGGAAGGTAGTGTGGATGATGTGGGGGAGATGAACCTGAGGACGAGGCTGGGTCTCCTACACTCATCTAAGGTGTTTAGAATATAATCAGTGGGTGAATAAAAGTTTTAAGGCAAAGTAATGAAAAGTCAGAAAAGTGACCCTAGCAGATGCCACACGTAGAGAGAGCACAGAGCATCCCCCTAGGTGTCCCCTAGGGCCAGAAAACACTCTCCTCCAAGACCCCATCTTTTCTTTTTTTTTTTTATTGTGAAATTTTTGTTGTGCATTATTGTTTATCAGTCACCATATAAGTGCATCCCTCCATCCCTTGTGCCCACCCCGCACCCCCCTAGCCCCTGGTAACCACCAAACAGTTCTATCTGTGCGTGTGTTGGTTTATCTTCCGCATATGAGTGAAATCATGCACTGTTTGTCTTTCTCTTTCTGGCTTATTTCACTTAACATAATACCCTCCAGGTCCATTCATGTTGTTGCAAATGGGATGATTTTGTCTTTCTTTATGGCTGAGTAGTATTCCATGGTATATATATACCACATCTTCTTTATCCAATCATCAGTCCAGGGACACTTGCGTTGCTTCCATGTCTTGGCTATGGTGAATAATGCTACAGTGAACATAGGGGTGCATTAGCCTCTTTGGATTGTTGATTTCAGGTTCGTTGGGTAGATACCCAGTAGTGGGATAGCTGGATCATAAGGTATTTCTATTTTTAATGTTTTGAGGAATCTCCATACTGCTTTCCATAGAGGCTGCACCAGTTTGCATTCCCACCAGCAGTGGATTAGGGTTCCCATTTCTCCACAGCCTCTCCAGCATTTGTAGCTTTTTGTCTTGGTGATTATAGCCATTCTAACGGGTGTGAGGTGATATCTTAGTGTGGTTTTGATTTGCATTTCCCTGATGACTAGTGATGTTTAGCATCTTTTCATGTGCCTATTGGCCATCTGTATATCTTCTTTAGAGAAGTGTCTGTTCATTTCCTCTGCCCATTTTTTGATTGGGTTTTTTGTTTTTTTGTTATTCAGTTGTGTGAGTTCTTTATATATTATGGAGATTAATCCCTTGTCAGATATACGGTTTGCAAATACCCATCTTTTCTTTTGGAATGCTCTGGAAAAAGCTGTGTTGCTTTGTGTGCGCTCTTTCTCTGTGGAGGACCTGATTTTCCCCAGAAGTGTGCGTCTCAGTTCTATTATGGAAATCAGTGGGAAAACACTATGTGTTTTAAAATTATTTGTGTGAGAGCCAGCTTTGCTGAAAAACATCTAGGCCATAAACAGACTGTCTGTCTTCATGTCTCCTTTTCTCTCAAAATGAGAAATAATTGAATAAAGAATTAAAAGCATACCACAGGGTCATCTGTGTTTGTGCCCTGTTGGCTCTCAAAAAAGACAAACAATTAGGGCATAAAAGCTTGGGACTGGGGATCCCTTTGGTGATTCTCTAAAAACTGCAGCGTTGGGGCCGGCCTGGTGGCGCAAGCAGTTAAGTGCGCGCGCTCTGCTGTGGTGGCCCGGGGTTTGCCAGTTCGGATCCCGGGCGCGCACCGATGCACCGCTTGGCAAGCCACGTTGTGGCAGCGTCCCATATAAAGTGGAGGAAGATGGGCATGGATGTTAGCCCGGGGCCAGTCTTCCTCAGCAAAAAAAGAGGAGGATGAGGAGGATGGGAGATGTTAGCACAGGGCTGATCTTCCTCACAAAAAAAAAAAGCCGCAGCCTCAGTGAGGCGGTTTGTAGAGTGGTCAAGGGCATACACTTGGCATGAGACAGGGAGAGTTCAGAGCCTGGCTCTGCTCCCTGCTGGCTTTGGGACATTGGCACAGTGCTTAACCTCTCTGGGCCTCTCAGTTTCCTCACCTGCAAAATGGGAGGCTGCCTCATGCCTACATCACAGAGTTATGCCCAATTAGTGATGTGCCTGGAAAGGGCCCCGTGCCTGACACACAGGAACACTAGATGAATGGAAGTGGTTGGTTTAAACACAAATCAGGGATGAACTTCTGAAAGGAATGAGAGCGCAGGCTCGCTGCTGTTCTCACTCACTGCGATGTGACATCTCTTTGCCCAGTTCTCCTTCTTTCTTTAAAAGATACTACCAGGCCTCGAAAGAGCCATGAGAAGGAGGGGGTGGAATATCACTTCGTCTCGAAGCAAGCATTTGAGGCTGGCTTACATCACAACAAGTATGTTTGCTTGATGGGCCCGTTGGCTCTCTGGGCAGCTGTGGTCTTTGCCTCTGTCCAGTATTCCAACTGACCTCCTGGGAGGGCTTCCGGAAAAGACGGGGGAAGCGGGAGCGGAGTCGTGGTGGGAAGTCCCTTCCCCTTTCCGTGCTAATTTAGGCAAGCTCTGGCACTGAAGGCCTTTCCCCCTTTGGTGGTGTTTTAGGTTCCTGGAGCATGGAGAATATAAGGAAAATCTCTATGGAACCAGCCTGGACGCCATTCAGGCTGTGATGGCCAAAAACAAAGTTTGTTTGGTGGACGTGGAGCCAGACGTAAGTTCCTGGGCCAGTTGGGCATTTCCTGTTAACAGAATTTATAAACTAGGGGATTGTACATTTTACACAACACTTGGCCTCAGTCTAAGGAATTTTTCGTCCAGAGCACTGGATATTAAAATTTTCTTGGATCTCCCTTTGAGAATCGAATGACAGCTTTGTACCCCAAAATGTGCACCTCTATACACAAAAACAGCATTAATTGTAGGAGCTCATGGACCCTCTTGGTGGCGCACAGACCTTGGATGGTAGTCTCCGCATGGAGTAAATCATGCAGTAGATGGTGGCGGCAACTGGCCGATTGTGATGTGACACTCAGGGAATTACATGTAAATGCCCGGGTGGAAACGGGGGCTCGGTTCTCAGCATCAGGCCACCCCCTTCCCGACCACGACAGATGGAGTCAGTGGCTTAAGGAACCGCTGAGTGAGGCGGTCAGGAGAGCAGTTTGAAAGGGAAAAAGGCCAGCAGACAAGACTCCGGGAAGTGCTTCGGAAACATTTCCAGTTCTGCATGACCCGCATGCTGTGTGCTTGTCAGGGGCTTACCCGTCTTGTTAACTTTGGCTTTGAGAAAAACTTCTAAGCTTTGAACTCCATCTGGGGATTTTTTTCCTCTATAGAAACAGAGCTCTGATTTTACGATATAAACTGTGGGCTTTATTTCACAGAACTTTGCTTGAAGGAGAGTCCAAAAAACACATGATGTCTGTAAAGGAAAACCCTCACTAATGGGGACTCTTGGGAGTTGGTCTTCGAAATTAAAAGTCCAAATTTCAAAATTTGATTTGAAAAGTGATTTTATTGATTTTTGGGGGGTGCAGATGGTACATATAGCAGTTTGCTACCAGTGTTTCCAAATAGAGGCCCTTACATTGTAGATAAAATGCACAAATTAATGGGACTATTTGCATATTGAAAACATTCTAACGTCTTTACAATTTGTTTCAAGTGATCTCCTAGTCTCTTCATTTGCTTGGCAAACCTTCTTTGAATGTCATCAAGAGGCCTGTGTGGTTGCACACCTTTTGCATAAGTGTAGGCCAAATTGATGACGTTTGATTAAATAGATACACGTTGAATCTTGCTGGCTCTTCCCTCAGGAGTGGGCAGGTGGAGAAGGGCGTCAGAAGGTTAATTAGAGTTTTTTTGTGTGTGTGTGTGAGGAAGATCAGCCTTGAGCTAACATCTGATGCCAATCCTCCTCTTTTTTGCTGAGGAAGACTGGCCCTGAGCTAACATCCGTGCCCATCTTCCTCTACTTTATATGGGACGCCGCCACAGCATGGCTTGACAAGCAGTGCGTGGGTGCGCGCCCGGGATCCGAACCGGCGAACCCCGGGCCGCTGCAGGGGAGCGCATGCACTTAACTGCTTGCGCCACGGGGCCGGCCCCTAATTAGAGCTTTTGGGGTCAGAGCAAAGAGAGATGGAAACTCTCAGAGCCCAGGCTGTGGAACCCTCTGTTCTCGGCGAGAGGGCCTTCAGGGTGGAGGGCAGGAGAGTGAGCACTTGGTCTGTCCAGGTGAAGTCCACTGTCGTATGACTAGTGTAATCAGGACCTTTGCCATCGAGGTTATGTGATGATGTGCACCATTACTGAGCATTTGAAAAGTATGTTTCACAATAAAAGATTTCCAAAGTATGTAATATTCCTGAACTTTCTTTCGCAGGCACTGCCACAACTGAGGACCTCAGAGTTCAAGCCTTATGTTATATTTGTAAAGCCTGCAATTCAGGAAAAAAGGAAGACGCCACCCATGTCCCCAGCTTGTGAGGACACAGCAGCCCTACTTGTAAGTTTAGAGTTGATCATTTCTTTTCCGAAGGCCTAAGAGGGCCTGTTACAGGGAGGGCTCCTCGCTGCATAAGGGCTCTTGTTCTTTTTGCACAAGCCCATCTTTCTACTTTGCCTGTTGGCCAGACTTAGATGGTCGTGTGACCAAAAGGCTCAAGGTGGGCCAGCCAGGAGTGCCTCCCAATTCAGACAGGGTGGCTTTGCCTGGGCCCAGCCCCCTCCACTCCCTCACATAAGCACTCTCCCGGAAAATAAGGGACGGACATCTGTCTGTCCAGGACCTGATCCGAATGTGACAAGCCACACTAACCTGTTGAACTCCTAAGCCAAACCCAAGCATTTTTTAATTGAAACACCACCTAACGTGGTCATTACCGTTGCTTTCAAACTGGTTTGAACCATCAGCGAATTAATCTGTTTGTAAAACTAGTGGATGAGATAATCCAATGTGTTTCTAAATGAACTTCTCTTCACCTGTCATAGATTCCTTGCTCAGCCCAGTCTGTGTCAGGATCCCCACTTGAAACCTAAATATTTGGCACAGTTCTCTCAGGGGACATGGGCTTGGTGACTCTTCTGGTTCTCAACAGAGTCAGAGGAATGAGCTGGCAGTTGTTATAGAGGAGTCAGAAGCAACCCAGTTCCAGTATAGACTTTGCTTGCTGTCTCATATAACTGGTTCTATCTGAAAGAGGCCCTCTTGGATCCTTCCCTTTGGTCAAGAAGCTCCCTCCAAGTAAAGATTTTGATGGAATCCTAGTTCATACTAATTCTGTGTTATGATTGTCCATGCCGATAAATTACTTAGAATGACTAAGTAATAGCTAGAAGGAACATTAGAAGTTTTTCCCTTTAGAAACTCGAAAGAGAACATCAGCTTCGGTCTGGAACCACTTAGAAACAAACAGCATGTTCATCATGGTGGTGCTAATAACAGCCAGATGAGAAACAACCTAAATGTCCAATAGTGGGGCTCAGCTCAATACATTACAACATTACATGACATTCACAGGATGGAATGGAATATTATATGGCCAATTAAAAGTTATGTGTCTGAGGAATATTTAATGACATAGCCAAATGCAATAAAATGTTAAATGAAAATAAATCAGAAAATAAAAAGGTATGATTCTAATTTTGTGTCACATACAAAGAAAATACACTAAAATGCTACAAGTGATTCTCTCTGAATATTGGGCTCATGACTAATTTTTGTTTTCCATATATATTTTTTTTCTGGGATGGAGGTTTAACAGCTTTATTGAGATAAAATTCACATACTATATACAATTCACCCATTTAAAGTATATAATTCAATAGTATATATTCACGGAGCTATGCAACCATTACCACAATCAATTTTAGAACATTTTCATCATCCCAAAAATAAACCCTGAGCCCATTAGCATTTCCCATTCTCCATTCCCCCAACTCCTTCCTGGCCTAAGGCAACTGCTAATCTACTTTATCTCTATAGATTTGCCTATTCTAAACATTTCATATAAATGGAATCATACAATATGTGACCTTTTGTATCTGACATCTTTGGCTTAGTATGATGTTTTTTAGGTTCATTCACGTATCAGTACTTCATTCTTTTTTATGGCTGAATAATATCCCATTGTATAGAATACCACATTTTGTTTATCCATTCATCAATTAGTGGACATTTGGGTTGTTTCTATTTTTTTTTTAGCTATTATGAATAATGCTGCTATGAACATTGTTGTACAAGTTTTTGTGTGAACGTGTTTTCATTTCTCTTGGGTACATACCTAGGAGTGAAATTGCTGGGGCATGTGGTAACTCTATGTTTAACATTTTGAGGAACTGCCAGACTCTTTTCCACAGCAGCTGCACCCATCAGCAGTGTTCAAGGGCTCCAATTTCTCCACATCTTCATCAGCACTTGTTACTGTCTTTTTTGATTATAGCAGTCCTAGTGGGTGTGAAGTGCTGTCTCACTGTGGTTTTAATTTGCATTTCCCTAATGACTAATGATGTTGAGCATCTCTTCATGTGCTTATTGGCCATGTGTATGTCTTCTTTGGAGAAACATTTGTTAAATACTTGATCCATTTTTTAGTTGGATTATTTATCTTTTTATTATTGAGTTGTAAGAATTCTTTATATATTATGGATACAAATCCCTTATCAGATGTATGACTTGCAAATATTTTCTCCCATTCTGTGAGTTTGTCTTTTCACTTTTTTGATATGGTCCTTTAAGCAAAAAATTTAAAAAATTTATTTTTATTTTTTTAATTTTTTTGTGAGGAAGATCAGCCCTGTGCTAACATCTGCCAATCCTCCTCTTTTTTTTTTTTTGCTGAGGAAGACTGGCCCTGGGCTAACATCTGTGCCCATCTTCCTCCACTTTACATGGGACGCTGCCACAGCATGGCTTGCCAAGTGGCGCGTCAGTGTGCGCCCGGGATCTGAACCGGCGAACCCTGGATCGCCGCAGCGGAGCGTGCCTACTTAACCGCCTGTGCCACCCGCTGGCCCAAAAAAATTTTAAAATTTTAATGAAGTCCAATTTATCTATTTTTTTCTTTTGTCACTTATGTTTTTTGTCTTATATTTAAGAAATCATTGTCTAATCCAAGGTCATAAAGATTTACTCCTGTGTTTTAAGATATTTATCGTTTGAGCAGTTACATTCAGGTCTTTCATCCATTTTGAGTTAATTTCTGTCTATGGTACGAGGTAGGGGTCCTGCTTCATTCTTTGCATGTGGAGATCAGGTTGTCCCAGCACCGTTTGTTGAAGGCTATTCTTTTCCTGTTTAATTATCTTGGCGCCCTCGTCAAAAATCAATTGACCATAATGTGTTTATTTCTTGACTGTCACTTCTATTCCTTTGATCTATATGCCTATCTTTATGCCTGTACCACACTGTCTTGATTACTGTAGCATTGTAGTAAGTTTTAAAATCAGGAAATGTGAGTCCTTCAACTTTGTCCCTTTTCAAGGTTGTTTTGGCTATTCTGGGTCCTTTGCATTTCCATATGAATTTTAGGATCAGCCTATCAATTTGTTTTACTATGTTTTTTTGTTTTTAACAAATATTTTAGGATTAAAAGAATTTAATTACCCGGGGGAAAAGACTTACCTAAAAAAGAGTCGATAAGACATAAGGGAGGGCCGGCCCCGTGGCTTAGCGGTTAAGTGCGGTGCTCCGATACTGGCGGCCCGGGTTCGGATCCCGGGTGTGCACCAACGCACCGCTTCTCTGGCCATGGTGAGGCCGTGTCCCACATACAGCAACTAGAAGGATGTGCAACTATGACATACAACTATCTACTGGGGCTTTGGGGAGAAAAAAAAAAAAGGAGGAGGATTGGCAATAGATGTTAGCTCAGAGCCGGTCGTCCTCAGCAAAAAGAGGAGGATTAGTATGGATGTTAGCTCAGGGCTGATCTTCCTCACACACACACACACACACACAAAAGACATAAGGGAGAATATGAGGGAGCTTCTTAGGACACAAAGAAAGTTCTGTCAAGTCATCAGGTCCCCAGAAGGTGTCAGTTTTCTAGGAGTCAGAACCCCCCACACCCTGGCCCGTGGCTGTTATTTCAAAAGAAGCAGAACTGTAGTCTGTTACTGGTGGCCTTTCAGCCTGACCAATTTATCATCTATTCCATCTCTTTTATTACCCACCGGAGTGCTGCATTCCAAGCAGGCAGGCTGATGAATAAATAGATCTGGCCAATGATTTTCATTGTCTGCGGGTCAGCTCACCCAGTTGTGAAATCTCACCTTGCTACTCTAGCATCTCCCGACGTGTTCCACTATCCTGAAGCCAGTGTCATTCTCAACACAAGGAGGCATCAAGGTCACAGGATCACACTGTTAAATACAGTGTCCTTGGCTCTACTCCCAGAGATTCTGACCTAGGAGATTTAGAGTGGGGCTCAGGCATCTGCATTTTTAACATACCTCCTTTCACATGATTTTGATGGATGTAGGCAGAACCCACAGAAAGTCCTCATAAAGGCCTGAGTTTTGTGTAACATTAAATATTTGTCCACTGTCTGGCACCCAAGTGCCAGAGTGTCCGACATCCAAGTCAGGGAACCTACTGGATAAAACACCCTTCTGGCACATCCTCTTTCCATCTATTTGCTGCCTATGAGTTAATGGAGATTCTGCCTTCAGATCCAGCAAGCTAATCCAACATGGGGGCGAGAGGCAGCATGGAGGGAGTCTTTCCTGTGTGCTATTCAGGACTGTGACTCCCTTGCTAAGGCTGTGGGTGGGTGAGTTTTACCTTTACAAGCCAGGAAAAGGATTCAGGGGATTTATGGCTGCAAAGCAAAAGTCACACATTTTACTCCATTAAAGATTTACTTGAGTTCTTTCAAAATGCAAGTATTTATTAGGAAGATTGAGGTACTTAGTGGCAAAAATGTTCCTTCTATAATTTCTCAAACAGCTAAGTGCTTCTAGGATGCACAATGTGGGTGCCTGGAGGAGGGGGAAACTCCAGAAGCGGCAGGCAGGTCTCCAGGATGTGTGTGTGTGAGAGGTGGGGAGGCGGGATTGAAGATCCAAGGGCAGCACGGGACACCGCAGAGTGCTTTTGGGTGTGAGAGGAGCCCTGTAAAATAGAATATAGAATTGGGAAGCTTCTCCCAATTTAATCTAGTTTTCCCCCTCCTGGGGGGAAGAAGAAGGAGAAGAAATGATTTCAGCCATCTCTTAGGTCTCTGCTGTCTTTGTAGTAGCCTGCAAAAACTTTCCTAGACCTTCAGAACTTATCTTCTGAAACTGCAGTGCTCTCACTAAAGTAGGAATCTGGTTTTGATGGATGACAGAGAGAAGAGGAGGAGGGAATATTTTGGGATGTGGGTCTCTGGGGAAGGACAGAACTCACCCCTTCCATGGCAGCCTAAAAACACTGAGCCCCTAGAAACAGAGGCAAGAAGGCAGCAGAGGACTGGAAAGAGAGAGAAAGGGAGGTGGGTGAACGCCAGTGACAAATTTTATTTTGCAATTTTACTTAGAGCGGATCTGCCACTTTCCTTTCTTCCAAAAACCAAGCTAACTGTCAGTCAACTAGCCACTTGAAATTCTACTGATTAGAGGTTTCTTTTGAATGGAGAAGCAAATACTGTGTAGATTGGGTAAAGGCGGGGTCATTGCCTGTCTGTACGTTAGTGTTAGGCGTCAGGAAAGCAATCCGATTAAAGAAATCAGGTACCCTAAGGAAATGGGGAATTTGATCAGGGTTGTCCCGGCACTTTCTTAAATAACTCTACTTTGTCTACTGTGCTAGTGTTTGGCCCTGGTATGAGGAAATGAAAGGAAGAATTGACTTCTACATTATGAATTTAGGAGTCTTCAGAGGGCATTAGAGTTACTTATTCTCTTTCTTTTTCCCCTGGTTCGTTCCAGAAATGCTTTCTTTGCTTTTACCTAGTTAATATTATTTATAGTTCTTTCCTGTAATTATTTAGCCAAATTGTCACACAACACAATAGTACTACTTCTTTGGAAATACCCTTGGACAGAAAGTGTGATATTGACATATATATACACACAGATATAGAATCAGCATCCCCCAGAGCACTTCGTATCATGGCGGGCAGTTAACAGGTCTTCAGTAGATATTCTGTGACTGACTGACTGAACAATGATTATGTCTACTGCCCATTAACTTTCTTGGAAGTTTGAAGATATTGTCACTATACTCTGTTCTTGTGTGCACAGTTGGTATTAATGGGCCATAGTCATCTACTCGTCATTTAAGAATTAGAGATTGGAACATTGCCCAAGACAAAGGCTGTAGGTTTCTTATGTTGGGAGAGAACCACCCAGTTGCTCCATAACTGCCCCTTTCCTTGCAGGATGAGGAGCAGCACGAGATGGCCGCCTCCGCCGCCTTCATAGACCAGCATTATGGGCACCTTGTGGACGCCGTGCTGGTGAAGGAGGATCTCCAGAGTGCACACAGCCAGCTCCGAGTGCTCTTAGAGAAGCTGAGCAAGGACACTCACTGGGTACCTATTAGTTGGGTCAGGTAACTGCATCCTAGACCAGGTTGGAGGGGGCCTGGAAGACCACCTAGTCCGGCCTCCCCCATGTTACTGTGAAGGAATCTCAAGCACGCAGAGGGGCAGCATTTTCCATAAACTCCATCCTCAAGAAGAGTATACATGTTCGTTGTTGGTTTTTGTCTGTTGGTGTTCACTGCACCCTTTTGGAGCAGAAAACGTGAGTTGAAAGGGGCGTGTCACAAAGTAACACACTTCGTTCATTAAATTATCACAGGCAAGTTGACCCTGATTCTCTGTACCAAAGTCAAGTAGCCACTGTCTTTTGGCGGTGGCGGTGGTGAATTTATACAGTACCGGTTTGCAGACATGTTTAAGCTTTATAAACAGCAACACTCCATTCATCCAGCTTCGCTGGAAGCTGAGTTGTTTTACCCCAGGCCTGCACTGGGTAAAGGCCTTTAAGACATGTGGCCCATACCATGCAGCTGAAGTTCCCCTGTCTTCAAGCCGTAAAATGTTGATTTTTAACCTTATGGATGGTGAGTGCTTGCCTGGCAATAGAAAAATTGGTTCTCTGCCTTTTTAAATAGTGAGCATACATGGACTTTTTTGGAAGACTGTGCCTCGCTTCACCATCACCATGAATTACTGTACTGTTCTATGATACAGTGCTGTTTTCAGGGACTCTCAAGGAATGGAAGGCCGCCTGTCCCCTTCCTAAATATCCTCAGCCTAAAATGGAGCCCTTGGCTTTGTTTGATTAATTCTATCCCATCACTTGGCCCTCTTGTTACTGACAGTGGCCTGGTTCTCGCCTGTCCCCATCTTCAGGTCAATAGGGGCCATGATCTCCTTGTGCTAGATCAAACTAGATGATTCCCCCATCAAAACTATGTCTAAGTCATGATATTTCAGTCCTGACCGTCAAAATCAAAGTGTGGGCCTAATAGGTTGTCTCTGAGCAAAAGTGTTTAGGGTCACACAGGATTTGTGATATATCTTAGCTGCTCAGAGAATTTGATTTCTTATTAATAGCCAATGTATGTAAGTCTTTATTCTGTGCCCAGGGCTATGCTAAGGCCTTTATATACATTACTTTGACAAATACACCAAGCCTATAAGGTAGGATTCTTATCATCCCCATTTTACAAATGAGAAAAACAAGGCTTAGAAAGTTTAAATAACGTGTCCAAGCTCGCACAGCTTAAAAAAATGGCAGAGCTATAGAATTTGAGCCCAAGTCTGCCTAATACCGGGGATGTCATCAATCACCATACTCTACTGTGTCGTTCTTTTGTGGTCCCATAACTGAGGCTACCTGTTAAATAATTGACTTTTAAGTGAGGAATGTGTTCATAGCTAGAATTTACAACACGATGCAGTGTGGCTGTAGTTTCTAAGACTGGAAAGAGGCTGCTTACCCATGTACATTTTCAAGCTCTTTCCCTCAAGAGAAGAAAAGGAGGCCAGGTTAAGGGGGAAACAGCAGGGAGATTTGCTGCCCATTGAGAAATTTCCATTTTGGCGTCTGATACAAGGACACCTTTGTGACTTTCTAGCTCACTGACCTGGTAGGTCCACCTAACAGGATCACATTCTTTAGACTTTCTAGCAAAAGAATGAGGACTTCTTGGCACTTTCAGAGTACTGGATTCTTACCAAGTGATACTAGTCTTGAGCTATTCCACATGGACCCAGGGCAGGGAGGGCAGCTGCCCTTGAAGTGTGAGGGGCACATGCAGAGTTGTGTGTATTATACAGGAGGGCCAGGAGCTAAAGTCAGCTGTCAGGCAAGAGACCCACAAGTCAAAATTAGTCTGGAAAAATTGCCTGGTGGAGATCGTAACCAACTCTTAGCAAGTGCCCTCTGGGCAGTTTTCCTCCAATGTAAGAACACAGTAGTTGAGCACCGATGACTTTGTTTGTATTTCATACCGCTCAACAGACATTTTCTGCTTCTTAATATTTTTACACAATTTTCAGATGAAATGGTGATAATTCTCTTCATGTATATTATGAAACAAGGCATTAAAATGTGATGGCTGCATTATTTCCTGTCAGAGTAGCTTCCTCACCCCTAAAGACAAGCTGTGTCTGTCTGCAGCTGTTGGTCTGCTACTAAATCTGTGAGAGTAGAATGGATAGGGCCCCAGAGACAGAGGTCATGTGTAAAATGTTTTTGCTGTTGGTAAAAAGCAGAAAAGTCTTGTTAAAAAAACGTACCTGTTTACAAATCTATGTTGGTGGAATGTGTGTAAATGCAATTCCCAGTCCCATTCCAGCCAGCAGTACTTACATTCTGAGCCCCTGGGCAAAATTTTTGCAAACATCTATCACTCTGGGCCCCTACACCAAGAAATCTCCTTATTCCATATGCCTTAAGATGTCCTTTTTTTTTTGCTTGGGCCTTCAAACTCAGGTAAGCTGTCTGCCTGTGTCTACAACCAGAGAGAATGTGGGCTCTCAAGGACTTTCCTAGGTCAGGGATGTTAAATGGGTGGGGCATATTTGCTCCCACGGCCCATTCTTACACCCATGGCAGACAGTACTAATTGACCATAGCTCTCTCCTTCTGAATCTAGGCACTGCTTTTAGATCTGTCAGGACACAGTATCCAGTATCAATTGAGCAGAATTAGCAAGTGAGTTAATCCTGTTTGCCATCCTTGATCCAGCAATTTGTAAGCCACTCCACCACTCCACTCGCTGCAGGAGATGGGTTTAAGAAGGTTACAACCATCACTGCTTCACAGGCAGTGCTCAGCTATGTTAAACATTAGTCAATTGTGCTTTTACCATTACATGTTCAAATACATACATGCTTTAAGACATGTGGCCCACCAAAATTTTGTGTTCATTTCTCTAGTGTCCCATCATTTATGCCACCAATCACAGAATCATGCATTCCAAAAATGACAGCACTTGGCAATTTGTTTAATAACTACAGACCGGCGTATGTACAAAGCCCATTCTTGAATCATACTGTTCAGAACCAATACGCAGCATTTCTCTATTTGGGTGGAGTTAATGAGAGTCAATTTGTTACTCCGTTCTTTTCCTGCTCTTTGAATACAGTCTCAAACCATTGCTTCCTTTAAAAGTCGGGCCTGTGGTTTCAGAACAAGATGGTTTAGCATTACTTTTCCCTCCTTCTCTCCTCTAAATATAACTGAATACCTTGGAAATTATTAAAAAGTTAAAAGGACTCTGAAAGCTGGAAAGAAGATGGTGGGCTGACTAGGGACATCAGGACTTGAGGAACAACAATGTGGTGAGTTTTCTGGGTTTTCTTTTCATCTTCCACATACCCCAGACTGGGCTCTGGAGAAGCCTGCAACTCAGAACCACCAACAGGCATAGACGGGAAGGAAAAAGAAAAAGGAAAGAAAAGCTTGCTTTCTCTGCCAGAGGACAGGGTAGGGGAAGCCCAATAGAGACCTAGTGGGGAGCCCCAACCCTAGCTCCACACTGGGGCATCAGCACATGCCCAATTCATTCACGCCAGGAGCGAAGCCCTGTGACTCTCTGCCCTCCACACTGTGGCATAAGGAGACCCAGGCCTAGCAGTGTCTGTCCGCCTCTCTGCAGAAGGTGGCCCAGCAAAACCATGCAGCCCAGGGAAGCACCTTCCCACACTGCAGAAGACACCGGCAGGGACTGAGTGGGAGCCCTGGCAGTACCCAAAGAACAAAGCAAACCCAAATAATATTGCAAAGCCTTGGAAAACTGAATTGTCATTGGAAATAAAACACATAAAAGAAGCAAGAACCTATACACTATGCCCAAACAGGACCCCTATCTGCTAAAATAGAAGAGGTAAATAGGATGAAGAGATTCCTAACAGGATTCCAAATGTCCAGGATACAATAGCAGATCACTCATCCTCTCCCAAACCAGGAAACTCCTATCTAACTAAGAAAAGACTATCAACTGATACCAATATTTGTATCATTCAGATGTTGGAATTTATCTGACAAGGATTTTAAAGCAGTTGTAATAAAAGTGCTCAATCAATTATAAATTATCTTGAAAAAACTAAAAAATTGAAAATCTTAGCAAAGAAATAGAAGTTATGAAAAATAACCAAATGGAAATTATAAAATGAAAAATTATTGTAAAATAAAAAACTCAGATGAACTTGATAGTAGAGTGGAAGTGACATAAGATGAAATCAGGGTGCTTGAGGACAGATCAATAAAATTTACTCAATCTGAACAACAGACTGAAAAAAAAAAAAGAGACTCAGGGCCTCATGATAATAACAAAAGAGCTAACACTTGTATCATCACAGTCCCAGAAGGAGAGGAGGAAGTGTGGGACTGAAAAGTGTTCAAAGAAATCATGGGTGAAACTCCCCAAATTTGGTGAAAGATATAAACCTACAGATTCAAGAAGCTGATAAACTCCAAATCAGATAAGCCCAAAGAAATCCATACCAAGACACATCGTAATTAATCTTCTGAGTACTAAAGACTAAGAAAAAAATCTTAAAAACAAAGAGGAACACCCAGGAAGTAACACCAATTCAAGTTCTATTTTGGTATTGCCTATAAAACAAACTATGGAGGCCAGAAAAAGTGACACATTTATCAAGTGCTGAAAGCAAAGAACTGTCAACCTTGAATCCTATGTGATGAAACTATCCTTTAGGAAGGAAGGGGAAGGGAAGACGTTCTCAGATGAAGGGAAGCTAACAGAATTTGTTGAGACCTACTCTTAAAGAATGGCTAAAGGAAGCTCTCTAAACACAAAGAAAATAGCAGAAGGCTGGGACCTTCAGAAAGGAAAAAACAACAGAATACGTAAAAATAGAAGTAAACATAACAGATTATTCTTCACCTCTTGAGTTTCTTTACCCACACTTTCTGGTTGAAGCAAAATTTATAACACCGTCTGATGTGGTGCTCAATGTTTGTAAAGGAAATACATACAATAATTATATTTTAAAAGTGAGGAGGATAAAGGGGCCAATTAAAAGACAGAGATTGGCAAAGTAGATAAAAAAACACGACCCAACTATGTACCATCTACAAGTGTACATAGGTAGGTGGAAAGTAAGGATAGAAACTGGTATATTATGCAAACAATTTTTAAAAAGCTGTAGTGGCTATATTATTAGATAAAGTAGATTTCAGAGAAAGAAAATTGCTAGGACAAAGAGGGACATATATAATGGTGAAAGGATCACTCTGCTAAGAAGATATAGCAATCCTAAAAGTGTGTGCACCCAACACCAGAGTTTTGAAATATATGAAGCAAAAACTGGTAGAGCTGAAAGGAGAAACAGACAAATTCACAATTACAATTCGGGATTTCAACACCCTACTCTCAGCAATTGATAGACCTAGAACAGAAAGTCATCCAGGATATAGAACTGAACACCATCAACCAATAGGATCTAACCGACGTTTGTAGAACACTCCCCCCAACAACAGCACTATACACATTCTTTTCAAAGGCCCGTGAAATATTCATCCAGATAGAGTATATTAACACATTTAAAAGATTTGAAATTAAAGAGTGTGTTCTCTGACCATAATGGAATCAAACTAGAAATCAACAGCAGAAAGACAACAGGAAAATTTCCAGACATTTGAAAGAGTATCTAATGTAACCTGAGCAGTTCAAGGCAACTTCCTAGAGAATGGACTCTCTTATATAAATAATGATTAGTGTTGTCCAGGAAAAGAGGTAGGACTATGGATTTCCCAGCTAGAGGAGACAGCAGAAACATAAATGAGATGAGAAGAAAACGTGTCTTCTGTTAGTTGAAAAAGGCAAGGAGTGATGAGATACAAAGTTACAGATGTTTGTCATTTTTTGTGGAATTCTAATATCTGAGCCTCATTCTAATTTGGGGGAAATCTCCTATCTTAGGAATTCTGATGAGAAGCAGAGCCCACGTCCAGAAGTGGAAAAAGCCAGACACTCATTTTCCAAGCCTCCCTTGCAGCTAAGGAATGGGCATATGATCTAATTTACACCAATCAGTTACACCTTCACTGACTTGGAATGGGAACTAGTGACACAAAATGGCAGGGACAGTGAACACCTTTCAAAGGCAGCAGTAGCAGGTCAGCGAGATCTAGTTCTAGGTGAGGCAGGGGCGGCAGGACGAGCCGCAGCACCCACAGACCAGTTCTACAGCAAGATTTTAAGGGTTTTTCCTTAATGTGCAGCTAGAAGCTCGGTTCTGTGCTTTTCTAGCAAACACTGTTAACTAATTCATATTCTTTTAATAAATTATTTCACTACTTAAATCAGACAAAGTCAGTTTCTGTTGCTTGAAACTAAGAATTCATATTGATAGAGGCTGCAAAGACAGGAGGGACAGGATCATGGGGGCTCATATTTACATATTTTGTATGCCACATTTAAAAGTATGGCTCATTCTGGAAGGAATGGCAAGTCATTGAAGGTGTTAAGCTAGAAAGTGATGTGGGCATATTTTTGCGTTAATGATGCTGATCGTAAATCACAACTGGCTGAAATATGGGCAGTAACATATACAGAGACTGAGAAGTAGGACTGGCAGATTTAAAATATGTAGGGAAGGGGAAGGGATAAAAGAGAGGGAGTGAAGTAGAGGATGACAGCCAGGTTTCTAACCTGGATGTCTGGAAGAATGATGGTTCCTCAAACAGATTAACTGGAACCAGTTGAATGATGAATTTGTATTTGGATTTATTGACTTTTTTTCTTTAAACTTTTTATTTTGAGATAATTGTAGATTTACATGTGTGTAAGAAATAATACAGAGAGATCCTGTGGACCCCTTCCCCAGTTTCCCCTAGTGGGTAGCACATTGCAAAACTATAGCACAAAGTCACAACCAGGATATTGACATTGATACAGTCAAGATACAGAACAGTGTCATCATTGATAAATTAGATGTCATCAAAATTAAAATACTTTGCTCTGTGAAAGACCCCGTTAAGAAGACAAAAAGACAAATTACAGACTGGGAGAAAATACTTTGCAAATCACATATCCAACAAATGTCTTATATCTATACTATATAAATAACTTTAAAATTTAATATTAAAAAAAAAGAATAATCCAGTTAGTAAATAAGAAAAGATATATGCAGATATTTCACCAAAGAGGATATACAGATGGCAAATAAGCATATGAAAGATGTTCAAGTTCATTAATCATTAGAGAAACCCAAGTTAAAACCACACGAGAGGTCACTACACACATACTGGAATGACTAAAATAAACAATAGCTATAACATCAAATGCTGATGAGGATGTGGAAAAACTGGATCACTCATTCATTGCTGGTGGGAATGTAAAATGGTACAGCCACTCTGGAAAATAGTTTTGTAGTTCCTTTCAAAATGGACTTACCATACAACCCAGCAATTGCACTCTTGGGCATTTATCTCAGATAAATCAAATTTATTTTCATGCAGAAACTTGTGCACAAATGTGCATAGCAGTTTTATTCATAATAGTCAAAAAACAAGAAACTACCCAAATGTCCTTCAATGGGTGAATGGTTAAATAAACTGTGGTACATCCATACCATGGAATATTACATCCATACCATGGAATATTACTCAGCAATAAAAAGGAATGAACTATTGGTACACACAACTTGGATGAACCTCAAGGAAATTATACGGAATGAAAAAAGCCAATCTCAAAAGAATGGATACATTCTGTGTGATCCCATTTATGTAACACTCATGAAATACCATAATTATAGAGAGATGAAAAACACATTAGTGATTGCCAGGGGTTAGGGATGGGAAGAAGAGGGGGGCTGTGGCTAAAAGGGGTGGTACAATAGAGTTTTTTGATAATGGTACAGTTAACTACCTTGAATGTGGTTGTAGTTACACAAAGCTACACCTGTGATACAATTGCATAGAGCCATACACACACATACAAATAAGCATACGGATAACTGGTGAAATTTGTATATGCTCTATGGATTGTACGAATGTCAACTTCCTGGTTTGCTATTGTACTATAGTTACACAAGATGCTAACACTGGGGGAAACTGAGTGAAGGATGCAGGTGGTCCCTCTGTATATTTATTTGCAACTTCCTGTGAATCTAATTATTTTAAAATAAAAAAGTTTATTTTAAGATTTGACATTTATTTTAAGATTTAAGATCTATTCTCTTTCAAAATAAAAAGTTTAAAAAATCAGGCTCAAAACCAGCATGACCAGTCATAGAAGCCGAGCAACATTGTCTTGCTATATGTTTTGAGAATTTTTGATATTTTCACTGTTGCTGCTCCCTATAAATGAACAGGATACGTGGAAACTTCAATGAAGCATTCTTTTCCAATTCTGTGTATTCAGAGGAACTAATGGCATTTGTTCTCTGTTGTCTGAACCTTAACTTCGTCATGTGCTTTTGTTTTCCATTTTGACAGAGCTGAACTTATGGCTGGATCATCACCCCACCTTTTCTTCCCCCCAGGATGGTGGTGGTGATGGTGTATGTTTTAAAAAGTTCTCTCATAAACACTTCTTTTCGCAGCCCCAAATAAAAATGCTTGTTGCCTCTTTCCTTCTGCCTGCCCCATTCTGTCTCCATTTTGGGATGAGACTTAAAGCCTTTGGGTACCTTAAATGTAACTTACTCATTTTATGTTCCAAGCTTTATTGTAGCACCCTAAGATGGAGCATTCAGCCACTTAGGAGTGTCTTGAGATTCTAAGCAGCTAAGAAATCCTAGGGCCTTCTCTTGTGTCTTTTCCGTGGTGAGTAACCTTGTGTTCAGGAAGGAGAGAGGGAGAGAAATGGAGAACCATCAATTATACAGAACTATTCTTTGGAAAGCCTGAGTGACCATTTATCCTTCTCCCCCCAGGTGGGGTGGGGGTAACTAGTCATTACTAATAATGTTAAATAGTACAAAATGCCCACACAACAGTACTTTTGAATAGTGACAGAGACCTGTAATGTAGCTGAGGCACAACACTAAAGCCACAAAAGCTCCTGTTTAAGTCTTATTGGAACAAATCACTTCCCCTTAGATTCACATAAAGCCTCAAAGCTGATGACAAAAAACAGTCATTTCCTACTTGTACAGAGAGAGGAAACAAAGAGCTCTAAGTTCCCTGAATGTATGACCAGTTGATATTACAGAAGAGCAAAATTCACCCCTCACTGGGCCCCTCGTTCCCTTTGATATCAACTGTGATCACTGTGTTCTGTAATAAAGAGCAGTCGTGTTAAGACATACCTATTTATCTTGGGAGAGAAGATATTTTGTTGTATTTCTGATATAGCGCCTTGAATTCTTGAAGGGAAAAAAATCAGAAAGATGTATGTCAATGCCAGGATGCTGGTGTGAAAGTTGAAGTTCAAAATCCTAAGGATGGCTTAGAAAAGGCTTACAGACCAAAGCCAGGGAGTGGAGCTTTCTAAAAACGCTGTAGAAGGCTTTTTTCTTTCCTTCTTGAAGGGTCATTCCTAAATGAAGCAGATCAGCCACATACTGAATCATCCACCCTTCATCCTCTTAGCTTGTACATTCAGCCTTTCTTAATGAATTAAGGGATGAGGGAAGATGCTACCAGATATTTTCTGAAACTGATGCATAATGGCTTTGCTACCAAGGAGATGTCCTTAGCTCGGGGGTGGTTTGCTCCTGTTGTCAGCTTTGTTTGCTCTGGGTGGTTTTTCTTTTACTGATTGTTGCATTTCTCATGATCTCGCCCTCAGCAGCTTAGGGGTCCCTCCTGAGACTGACTCTACTCTGAACACAGATGAACCCTGTACACACGTGGGAATATCACAGAGTACCCACGTGCCTGCCAGTCTGTCTCGGATGACTTGCGGTCATAGTGGGGTTTGCGATCATCAAGCCTCTTCAGAATGCCCTGGTTTTCCACGGTGATTCTCACTAGCTCCCGGTTCCTTGTTTCTCTGTTTAAACTGAAAAACACAAAACCCTGAGATGGGTGAAAAATAAAATTCTCCTCCTGGATGGGAGTGGGGGAGATGAAGTCATGGGGTCATAAACCCAGGCTGCCTGAGTGCAGGGAGCAGACTGTCCTGTTGTGCCTTGAGGCCCAGCACCCCTGTTGAACCAGACTGCACTCTGGGAAAAGTGCAAAGCATTAGCAGGTTTCTGTCAGTGGTTTTCAACCCTGCTGTCCACTAGGAGATTCTACTTTATTGATCTAGGGTGGAGTTTGGGCATCGGCATTTGTAAAATCTCCCCAGGAATTACGTGAAACCACGATTGAGAAGGTCTGGTTTATATGATGGTGGAAGTTCTTGCCTGTGGTTAGATCACAAATGGCCGATGACACGTTTTGGTTCACGTCTCTCCCTCAGCTTTCCTCAGTTTCAGATACACAGGGATATAGGAAAGGCATCGTGACACTACCTTCCACACACACACACATACACACACACATCCACCAGATTCTTTCCCTTGCATACACTTCTTTTGTGGCTCTGACCACACTGCATTATTATTTATAGAAGTGTCTCGCTGCCAGACCTCGAGTTCTTTGAGGTGAGGAGCTATATAGCTCATTTCATCTCTGTCTTCCTGGTGCTTAGCACGCTTGTGGGAATGATTTTAAGAAGGCTGTGTTGTAGTCCCGGCTATGGTCATCATTTTCAAAAGTATGTAGTGCTTTCTTGTGACAGACTTGAATAGGACTCCAAAAATTCTCTTAGATGAAATGAAAGTTAGCTCTTTAAGGCTAGAGAAGGGTCCCCGTTTTTGGTAGTTTTCATTCTCCTTAGCACGCTCTCTTTGGTTATCCCTCAAGATGACTTCTGTATTCCTCCCACGCAGGAGAACCTCCACTAAAACCCAACAAGGGGAAAGTCGACTTTGACTTAAAAATGAAATGACGTGAAAGAACACTACCTCTTAGAAAAATATTCGTTCCAGCAATCCACCTTGGCCGGGCCGCGATGAGCATTTGCGATTTTCTGACACAGTTGCTTGTTTTCATATTCGATTTTGTCGATTCTCTTTTGTTCACTCTGGTAAGAAAACCCACCCCACCATGGTGACATCATCGCTCTGCTGGTCCAACACACAGCGGCTTAGCATCTGTCTCCTCTGGGATTGTGGGAAAGGGGCAAATTGAGGGCCTCAGTGGAGCCTGGGAAATGGGGTGGTGTGTCTGAATGACACACACAAATGAAAGAATCTTTGGGTTAGGTGAGTATTTAGAAGGCTCTGGGAAACTGGACCTCTTTAGGACATAGATAACAATCAATAAAGTACATCTTCTGATGGCAAGAACAAATACCTGTAGTTTGCTCAATTTTAAGATGTGATGTGTGTGTGCCACTGGAGGTTTGGTATCAACAGTAGGCTTCACTAAAGAAGGATGAGAGAGAGCAATGTTGAGTCACAGGAGTCCTCTTAGCAGCCTCAGAAAACCTACGCATGTTCTAGACAATGGCCCTGATTAGTAAGCATTACGATTTTGAATTCTGACCTTAATCCAGTTCAGGAATTTAAGTTTAGCTTAATTTCCCAAACTGACGTCTTTGAAGACTTTTGAGCAGAAATGAAAGAATGGTGAGGGCTAGAAAAAGTAAAATTTACAAAATAAATGTCCTTTGAATCTAGTGAAAGAGCCTCCCTCTCACCCTTTCCCAATATGACTAGCCCAGCTATTGAGTGCTGAAGTCCTATCCTCTTTCGAGCTTCCTTTGGCTTTAAAGCGTTTAAATGAGCGTTTCCAGCAAATGAACTCCCTGGTAGATCATTTTTGTCACTGACACTAATGTCCTCTTGACCCAACTCAGCAGATAAGGCCACAGCATCGCAAAGCCATGTACTGGTTGGATTTACTGTCAATATCTCTAAGGTGGGCCTTTCCAGAACCCCTAATTGCAGTGTCCAGCCCAAACAGCACACATACCTATTTGTATTCGATTTTTGTGAAATATGTAGTGGCCAAAGTCGAGTTTCTTCCTGAAGGTTGTGCTCTGCCTGTGATTAGAGACAATTACAGGGTAGGCTAGATAATCCAGGGAACTGTTCATCTTCTCTTCCTAGTCTCACTTCAGAAATGAGGCACCCAGGCTCCTCTGTGAGGTACTCAGCTGTCCCCATGACGGGTTGTCATAGTTACCCACTTATGACATCAGGGACAGGTCTCGGGGAAGGAGAAGGAGCAGCAGAGCATGCCTGGCTGTCCCACAGCTTCTCTTTGAAAGCTAACCTGGGTCCAGGTCAAGACGAAGGGCGAGACTCGGAAGCTTTCCCACCTGCCTGGAATGCAGATGCCTCCAGCACCAGCAGGAAAAGGTGTGGTGTTCTGGGCGGGGTGGGAAGGCACCGGGTCGGGGTGGGGGATAGAGAAATCCAGCCTTGGTTACATACCCTGGGCTATGATACCCTGAGCTAAGTAGTCTCCACTGCAATGATTTCCCTGCAGGTGTGCCAACATAAGCTTTTTGGGGAGGTGAAAGATGACCTTAAGGATAATCTGATCCAATTTCTTCATTTTGCAGATGAGGAAACTGAATTCCAGAGCAGGAGCCAAGCTGCTCAAGAACCAAGTTAGTGGCAGAGCGGGGCTTAGGATGTGGGTTTCCTGAATTCTGGGGACCATATTTGCTCTTTGGAGGAGGGGGAATTTTCATGGCAGTGGGGGAGGACAGAGCCTGTCTTTTGCTCCTAGTGGGATCTCAGTAAATGATGAGTTGCTGACACCCTGTGGCTCATAGTGGGCTGGCGGCTGCTCCGGGAAGGGCTGAGAGGAGCCTGATTCATCCCTACACTAGCCCAGGGTATACCACCTAATCGTGCTCAACACCTGTGCTGATGAAGAGGGCGAACACAACCTGTTGCGTGCGCATTATGTAGTGCTGGGCACTTTCCTTGAATGTCACATTTAATCTTTCAAACAACCCTAGGAGTTAGCTACGATTATTATTACCCTATTTTTTCAGCAAACAGGCTCAGAAAGGTTAAATAATTTCTCAAGGTCAGAATTCCAAGGCCGGTTGCACAGAGCCCAAGCTTTTAAGCACGATGCTGACTCTTAATGAATGTTGAAAGAAATGTGCCCCAGGGTTGGGCTTCTCAAAATGTAACCTTTCTAGGGATCCCCAGGGCGTCCTGTAAAATGCACATTTTCATCCAGTTCTGAGCTGGGGCCGAGATTCTGCATTTCTGACAAACTCCCGGGGGCGGGGTCCCAACGCTGCTGGTGGGCAGCAGGCAGAGTTAGAGCTCACAAGTGGAACCCAGGTGCCCCTGTAACCCTGAAAAAAATAAGCGACACTTGGGTGTACCCCGGTCAGTAGGGACATTTATTGCACCCTGCATTTGGTCCAATGAAGTTACGGCACTCCCCAGTTCATAACAGAAAATGCCTCAGCTGGGGGTGGGAGCCCACCCCCGAAACTCAAGAGTGGCGGCATTTCCGCCCCCGGGGACACGCCCTGGGGTGTTCCGAGCGTGCGCTCGGCGCCCGGCGGCGCGCGTCCTTCACGGGCGTGGAGCGCGCGTGGCCGCCCGCGCTCCGCCGCTTCCCGCACCCGGCAGGTCCGCCTCCGGGGCGGGACGGGGCGGGTCCCGGCTCCGGAGCCCCCGCCCAGCTGACCCGGCCGCTCTCCCCTCGCTGGCTGCTGCCCCGGCGTGCAGGGCCCGGCCGCCGCCATGTCGGGCCCGTTCGAGCTCTCGGTGCAGGACCTCAACGATCTGCTCTCGGACGGCAGCGGCTGCTACAGCCTCCCGAGCCAGCCCTGCAACGAGGTCACCCCGAGGATCTACGTGGGCAACGCGTGAGTCGCGGCTCCCGAGCCCCAGCCCTGCCGGCCCCTCCCCGGGGCGCCCCGCCCACCCGACAGCTGGGGTGGGGGCATCGGCAGGCGCGGGCGGGGGGAGCCGGGGCGTGGTCGCCCCTCCGGGTGCACTGGCGGGGGCTGGAGTCACCGCCCACCCCGGCGCGTGGGGCGGAGGGGCTGGACGCCGCCCCGGCCCAGCGCGGTCCTTCCCTTCGCGGGGTGCACGGAGCCCGGGGGCACCTCGGCCAGCCCGGCGTCCGGCCCAAAGCCGCCACCGCTAGGGGCTCGGCCTTGGGCGGGGTCAGGGCTACCAGGTCCACTTAACAGGTGGCCCTCTGTCGCCCTGCCGGTCTCCGGCCCGCGCGTCATGTGACAGCTGCCTGGTTCTGCAGTGAGGTCACCGCGGAATGTCTGCCTTCGCTGCCATGGCAACGGGCTGACGTCACAGTTCGGGCGTGGAACTTTTCCCCGGCTGGGCAGGCCAGATAACAGAATCGAAATATTCCAAACGAGGGGTCCAGAAATCTGGGTTGGGGTTTCCTCGCTCCTTCTCTCTTCCAGAGAGGGTTTGATAGCTTGGGACTCTAGGATGACCCAGTGATAAACCCTGTAAGGAACTGAGCCCTCACTTAGAAAAGGCTCTCAACCTTCTCACCACCAGGAAATGCATTTATTATTTATCACTTACGAGTTCTTCTCGCCAAATTGATTTCCCTATTTTCTATTAGTGACACTGCTAGTAAGAATTTCTCAGCAACAGGAGAGAACCAGTGTTAACCATTCTGAGAGGTGGATTCCCACGCCTGTACAGCCTTGGGAGGACTCAGGATGGATTTTCATGAGACCCTGAGGACCCAGTTACCACCGTCCTGAGCGACATGGGCCCCAAGGACCACATGTTGGAAACGGAGAACTAACCCTCTTCTCTCATTTTACACAGGAGGAAATGGAGGCCCAGAATGGTTGAGGGATTGTAAGGACAGGGTCAATGTCTTGTTCATGTCTGTATCCCTGTCCTGGACAGGACCTCCTGCTTCCTCTGCTAAAGACTGCCACAAAAATGAGGGTCATCACAGAGCTAGAGGAGGTCCATGAGGCAGGTCCCAGCCTCATGGGGGATGGTCTCATCCATTCCATCATTTGTTCACCATATTGAAACCTGCTATGTGCAAGGCACTGTGTAATATTTGTTCACAGTAATGATAATGGTAAATTTGTGGAATGTTGAATTAGTGTTAGAGAAGGGAGACGAATGGGAGTGACTCTTCAAAGTTGTTTATTTCATCAGCCACTGCTTAACAATCATGTGCAGTGTTGTGAGCAGAGACAGCTAAAACAGTCCCAGAGTCTCAGCCAAAGGCCTCAGTAACTGCAAAATTCTGAGGATAACCCCCTTTCCAGCCACCCACGCAGCAAGTGGCCTTGGCACCCTTGGAAACCCTGCTTTCTTGGGCAGTTTGGCACATTTTGGCTATCACCGCTTCCCAAGTGGAAATCAAGGTTGTGAATGTCTGATCGTAGCCAGAGAGGCGAGTGCTGATGGCCACTGTAGAAAATACATCCCTTGCCGTCTATGCAATTCTGACCTTGACTTAGCCAGGGGTGGGGGTGGAGCGCTCGGCAAGGAGGATCCACTGAGCACCGAGTGCTCCCCCAGCATCAGGAGCCCCTTAACAAAATCACGGCTCCTGATCAGGGCTCTCAGGGCAGAGAGGAGCCTGGAGGAGCCACGTTTTCTGGGTCTCAGGACTTGCAGTTGATGGGGCATGAGTCAGAGTGAGGGGGAAGGCAGAGCAGGGCTGGCGTCAGGAGAAAGGAGGTCTCCTCCTGGCTTTGCCACCCAGCAGCCGATGTGGGCACACACACATCCTTCCGTGGTCCTGTCAGCCAGAGTTGCAGCTCTGTCCTTCCTTCCTCACAGGCTGCTGTGACAGGCACTCGAGATCGTGTAGGAGAAGGCGTTCTGTAAAGTGTAAACTGCTGTTTGAATTGGGATGTTGTTGTGAGGTGAAATAAAGGAGCCCTTTGACTATTCAGATCAAATGTTTTATAACCCCCACAGTTCTGTTGGGGCCCCTTGCTCCCCAAGTGCTTACCCAGGAGCTTCAGAAACGTGGCTAGTGGACTGGGGCAGGGGCGACCCCTCTGGGGGACGAGAGGGGCTGCTGCTGCACTTTATAATCCAAGGAAGGAGGCTGCCTGGGATGTGCTTATTTCATTTTTCTTCAGTGATTCACCACATAGTCATTCAGCACCTACCATGTGCCAGGTACCGTAGTAGGTGCTGGGCATACAGACCTGAAGCAGACATGGTTCCTCCCTCAAGGAGCTCACAGCCTGGACATCTAAGTGAATAAGCGCAGTCAAGCACTGGAATAGTAGCGCTGACTGTGGGGTCAGGCTCTGTCTATAGAATGGTTCGTTTAACGCCCATAACAACCCCAGGGGGTAGGGCTGTTGTCATTCTCGTTATACCGACAGGGAAACTGAGTCACAGAAAGGTTAGGTGCTCAAGGTGGCCTGGCTGGTAAGTGGCAGGGCTGGATTCAGACCCAGGCAGTCTGGCTCCAGAGCCCACTTTTAGCCACTTGGCTATCCTACCATCACGGTATAGGGAGCACGATGCCAAATGGAATGGAGGGGGGAATCAGGAAATACTGCAGAAGGTGGTGAAAAATGAGAGGGGGCATGTCCACAGAGAAGGTGGAGAAGGGTATTCCAGGCAGAGGGACAGCATAGGCATGAAACCACTCAGTCTGTTTGGGGCAGCTGCTGGTAATTAGATATGGCTGGGGTGAGGGAGGAGGCTCATAAGATGGGGAAAAGCTGGCAGGGCCAGAGTGTGGAGGGTTCCTTGCTTTGCCAAGAGGCTTAGCATCTTCTCCATCTTCCTCCCCCTGGAGCTGCCAGTTGGCCAGTTAGTCATCTGCTGCTGCTGTTTCCTATCAGGTCTGTGGCTCAAGACATCCCCAAGCTACAGAAACTGGGCATCACCCACGTCCTGAACGCTGCCGAGGGCAGGTCCTTCATGCACGTCAACACCAATGCCAACTTCTACAAGGACTCCGGCATCACCTACCTGGGCATCAAGGCCAACGACACGCAGGAGTTCAACCTCAGCGCCTACTTTGAAAGGGCTGCAGACTTCATTGACCAGGCCCTGGCTCACAAGAACGGTAAGGGACCTGCTGCCCAGGAAACAATGGGAGGCAGCTTGGACTGGACTTTCTCTAGGGAACAGGCCCACAACGAGCCTCCTTGTGGAAAACCTGTTGTTTCCTGTGTCCTGGGGTGAATGACTGAGAGCTGAGGTCTCTCTCTGCTCACCTGTCTGCTTGTTGAATGGCCCCACATTACACAAGACGTGCAAACCTTTCACATAGTGGCAGCCTTGGGGTCCTTGGCTGGGGGTTATTTCCAGCCTCTCCCTGCCCCCATTCAAATAGCTTCAATAGTGAAGAATTATTATTTCCCCCCCTAACAAGTTCTGAGGTGAAGGAGCTCCGGGGCTGGTTGGTTCAGCAGCTCAATGGTGGCCTCAGGACTAGGTGCTTTCCCTCTCTCTCTTCTGCCAACCCCAGTGTCGGGCACTCCCCTAACGGTCCCAAGGTGGCAGATCCAGTCACCACCTCCCAACAGGACAAAGTATAACAAAAGATGAGGCAGCCACCTTTCCTCATATTTATCTCTTTTTTTAAGAGCAAGTAAAACATTCCCCAGAAACCCCCCAGTGGCGTTCCCCTCACATCTCACTGGTTAGAGTTGGGTCACGTGAATACCTGGCAAGGCCAATGGGGCAGCCATGATTGGCTTAGGTTGGGGAGTCAGCAAACATCAGCCCAGCTTTTAAATGCTTCCTGCAGCTCCGAAACATAAGCTAAGACTGAAGCAGAACTCCTGAGGTGCTGGCAGTCAGGCAAGATGTTCCAGAGAGAAATCCTAGAAGGCCAGAGGGCAGACATCAGCTGAGCAGGCTGGGCCACTTGCCTTTTCTGCTTTTAGCTTGTTCCTCTCAGCAACTCCCTTTATCTTTGTGCTGCCTCCTCCAGCCTCTTCCTTCCTCCCTAACCCAAACCCTCCCAGGGGAAGTGATGCCTGCTGAGGCATGATTGGCCCTGTCCCCCTGATTCTAGCCTGTCTCTCACGCAGGAGGTGGCGTCTGAGGAGAGGCCTGGAAGGATGGCAGTCACGCCTTCTCCTTCCACTTTGGCTCTGTGAGCCCTGGGCATGCTGAGTATGTTCCAGGTGGTGAGGCAGCTGCTCTGCAGAGGGTCCCATTGCCGGGTTGGGGGCAGGGACAGCCCCAGTCTGCATACTTTGGGTACACTGGCCAGGGAGTGAATGGGCAGGAAAGTGGAGTACTCCCCCTTCCTGCTTTGGGAGGCTTTGGGAAAATAGAGTCGTGTTTTGGAGCTAGGGTGATGAGAACAGAAAACTTCCTTCACAGTAATGCTGGTATAGAGGTGTTGGTGGGAAATCCTTCACTCAGCTAGTCAGCAAATACTTACTGAGCACCTAGTGTATGCTAGAGATCACAGGGTGTCCAAAAATCAATAATACCTCACAGTCCTTGCCCTTAAGGAACTCAGACCAGCAGAGGAGGGCATTTCTGTGCGTGGGCAGCAGTTGCACAGGGCTGGGATGCTGTGGTCGAGGATGTACTGGCTGCCACCGGAGGACTCCTAGTGTTGCTAATATTTATTTATTGAGTGCTCACGTAGGCCAGGCACTAGCCTCAGGGCTTTATATGTCATCTGTTAATCTCCTAACCACCTGTGCAATGGGTACTCTTAGCACAGATGAGGAAACTGAGGCACTGTGAGGTTAGACAGGTCATAGAGTTAATAACCGGTGTATTGGCCGGGGTTCTCCAGAAAAACAAATCCAATAAAATATATATTTTAAGGAACTGGCTCACATGATTGTGGGGACTGCCAGATCTGCAATCTGTAGGGTAGACCCGTAGGCTGGAAACTCGGGCAGGGCTTCTATGTTACAGTCTTGAGGCAGAATCCTTCTTCTCCAGGAAACCTCAGTGTTTGCTCTTAAGATCTTTAACTGATTAGAAGAGGCCCACCCACATTATCAAGGGTCATCTTCTTTACTTAAAGTCAACTGATGGTAGATATTAATTACATCTACAAAATACCTTCTAGACTAGTGTTTGACCAAGCAACTGGACATCATAGACTAGCCAAGTTGACACATTTAACCATCACAACAAGCTAGTTACAATTTAAACCCAGATTCATATGACTTCAAAGATTTGGGTTCTAAATCCCTATGCTGACAAGGGAAATACTTGAACTGGGGTCTTAAGGGATGAGTAGGAGTTTGCCAGGTAGCCGAGAGAAAGGATGTTCCAGGTAGAAGCAATAATGTGTGCAAAGGCACAGAGATGAGAAAAGGCCCAGAAAGGTGTTGAAGCTGTGGGCACTTGGCCTTGTAAGCCACACCTTGGAGACTAGACTACCCTGCAAATGGTGACGGGTCACATTTGTGTTTTAGAAAGCTCCTTCCAGCTGCTGAGTGGAGAGTGGATTGGAGGTGGTGAGGGTAGAGCGAGAGCAGGTGTGGAGCGGGCAGAGGTGAGAGGTGACGAGGACCTGAACTAAGCACTCTGCGTTGGGAGGGGGTGGTGGTGGAGAGAAGCCAAGGCTTGTGGCTCACAGGGCCTCCCCACTGCAACAGGCAGGACTTTATTGACAGTACCTTCTGATATCTCCTCACCATTCCTTCCTTCCTTCCCTAAATGCTGGGGATGCAGCAGGGGGCAAGACAGATGGACATCCCTGCCCTCGTGGAGCTCACGTTTCAGGGAAAGATGACAGTAAACAAGTGAAAATGATATATGGCGTGTCGGGGGGGGAGGGATAAAGCAGGAAGAAGGGGATTAGGGAGTATAAGCAATGGGAGGGGGCTTGTGGCTTAGAGAGGGTGGGCAGGTGACATCTGAGCAAACACCTGGGAAAAGAGGTGTTGCAGGCCAAGGGGCCACTGGGGTGCAGGGAGGAGGGTGAGGAGGAGGTGCCGTCAGAGGTGGGGGCCGTATTCTGTAGGGCCTCGTGGCCATTTGGGGAGCCCTGAGAGGGTGTTTTTGTGTGTTTGTTTTGATTGTTTGTCTTTGTTCGCGTTTGTATTTGACATGCGTGTTCCTTGTCTTTTTTAAACTGCTTTGTTGAGCTATAATTGTCATTCAATAAATTACCCATATTTCAAAGCATACAGTTTGATAAGTTTTGACATATGTATCCGCTTGTGAAACCATCACCACAACCAAGATGGTGAGCATATCCATCAGCCCCCAAGTTTTCCTCATGTCCCTTTGAGACCTCTCCCTTCTGCGCCTCTCTATCTTCCATTCCTAAGCAACCCCTGATCTGCTTCCTGTCATTAGACATCAGTGTACATTTTGTAGAGTTTTATATAAATGGAATGACACAAGATGTGCACTTCTTGGGTCTGGTGTCTTTCACTCATCATTATTTTGAGTTTCATCGATGTTGTTTCCTGTATCAATAGCTCATTCCTTTTTAATGCTGCATAGTATTCCATCGGATAGATGTACTACAGTTGGTTTATCCATTCACCCGTTGATGGACATTTGGGTTGTTTCATTGTTTTGCTTTTGATTGAAATATAAAATTCTTGTATAGAAGCACCCATATTACAAGTGTGTAGATCAGTGTACTGCACACACCCATGTATTGGCCCCTAGATCAAGAAACAAAACACCACCAGTACCCCAGAAAGCCCGCCACATGTTCCTGCCCAGTCTCAAACTCCCTGACCCCCGTGACCACTATCCACACTTCTATAGCGCAGAGCAGTTTCGCCTGCTCTCCTACTCCGTGGAATCATAATATATCCTATTTGTGTGTTTCATCTGTGTTGTTTTTGGTAAGTTGTAGATTGTTCATTCTTATTATTTATCCATTCTACCGTTGATGGGCCTTTGAGAGTTTCTAGCTTGGGGCCGGTATGAATAGTGCTGCCTATGAACATTCCAGTGCGTGTCTTTGGTGAACATGTGTGCGCATTCCTGCTGGGCCCGGGTCTGGGATGGAATTGCTGGGCCGTGGGGGCTGCGTATGTTCAGCTTGAGTAGATGGTGCAACACGGTTTTCCAAAATGGTGTGCCAATTTACACGCCCTCCCCTGCTACATATGAAAGTCCTTGCTGCCCCACGTCCTCACCGATGCTCTGTGTTTCCGTCTTTTTCATTTTAGCCGTTCTGGTGTGTCTACAATGGCCTCGCATTGTAGTCTTCATTTGCATTTCCTAAAAGAGTGTTAACTAGAGCTGTAATGTGATTGGATGGCCCCAGCTCACCACGTCCCCCTGTTTCTTACAGGCCGAGTGCTTGTCCACTGCCGTGAAGGTTACAGCCGCTCCCCAACTCTAGTTATCGCGTACCTCATGCTGCGTCAGAAGATGGATGTCAAGTCTGCCCTGAGCGTCGTCAGGCAGAACCGTGAGATCGGCCCCAACGATGGTTTCCTGGCCCAACTCTGCCAGCTCAATGACAGACTAGTCAAGGAGGGGAAATTGAAACTCTAGGGCCCGCACTGCCTCTTCTCTAGAGGTCGGACGGGGGAGGCCTTGGTTGAGGTGTCCCAAGCCGCCCTGTTTAGGAAACACAGTGTACCCTGCTCCCAGCATCACCAGGCACTTGCCCACATCTGTCCCAACATAGCCCTGGGCCACTTTCCCCTGGGGGGGACACATAAAGAAGCTTGCTAAGGAGGGCATTCTTGCTCCCTGGTGTGTCCTGTGCCTGTAATTTATGACGTCCTCTTCCCGAGGTGGGGGCGCAGAGTGGGAAGGCCTGTGACGTGTGCTTCTCCTGAATGGCCCAGGGCGGGAGGTCAGTGGAAGTGTAAGGCTCCAGATGCCCACAGGGCCCCTCCTGACCTCCCCCACCTCCCACCCCCACCCCTGGCTCCTCTCCTGAGTGGGGACCACAGCACCTCGAGCCCTGCAAAGGAACTATGCAAACATGGGCCCCTCTCTCCCCACCATGTCTGTCTCCCCATCTCCTCGCAGCCATCCGCACTCTGCTCACAGGCAGAGTCCCATCATGAGGTCTGAAGCTGGGGGTAGCTGTCAGTTGTTAGTGGATGGAAATTCCCACAAAGAGCCCGCATTTTAACTATTTCTTTAGGATTAAAGATAACTAAACAAAGAGGCCCTCAGGTGGGCAAATAAGTTGTCCTGGAGGACTCCTAAATCAATAGTTTTTAAAATGCAAATCTTTGGAGGGCTTGAGTTCAGAATCCACTGCTTTGGATTGTTTCCCTTGGACTGCCTTCAGTCTCTTGGTTTGTTAGAAGAGGATGCCTTGGGCATGCTTTTCTTTTTCTTTTTTTAGAAAACAGGGTGTTGAAGTCCAGCCTATTTAAAAACCCCACCATTTGGAGAATTACAAGGGTTTTGTCCTGAATTATAGCGTTGCGAGCCCAAGCCACTCGTGCTAACTGCTTTTTGTCTCGGTTGCTATTCCAAGGACAGAAGGAGAAAGTTGGCCAATTACAGTGTGTGTGCGTGGGTGTGTGTGGGGTGTGTGTCTCTCAGAAATACAGCCAGAGGACGGACGAGCAGAGAGATGAGCTGTCCCAGGCTCACACCCTGCCCACTGGCAGGTAGTTCTGATGGCTCTCTGGTGCCAGGAAAGATCCTGGACCCTTGGGAGCAAAAATGATTCAGCGAGGCAGAAATGAAATATGGCGGAGCATCCAAATGGAGCCTTGATTTGTGGTAGAGCAAACAAACAAAAAGAAACAACCTTTTCTAGGACTTCTTCAGGATGGTGTCAGAATGCACTAGCACTCACACTCACATGCGTGTGCACATTTGTCAGAATATGGGAGTTTTGTTTTGAACACAGTCTTGTTAGGACTTTGCTTGATTGTCATCCTGGAAAGTGATTCAAGGCTGTCGTCTTCAGGTTCCCTATGACAGAGAGGTGTTCCTCAGCCATGCCCCCAGCGCCTAGCCACATAGGTGTCTGATAAAAGTTTGTGAAATTAAACTTTTTTTTTTTGAGCACCAAATATATGTAGAGTGTTGTTCTGGTGGGTGTTTCAAGCTCCCAGAAGCCTGAATTCATGGTAGGATCACTTGCAAGGATTTGCAAAGGAGTCTTACCTGAAGTGAAATATCAGGGACTTTTGTTGAATATTTAACATTCATTGAGGTGGAGAATGTGCCTTTTTCAGAGTGGACCAGGAGCTTCCGGCTAGGACAGGGAGAAGCAGGCATGTCCCAGGGCCCCACTCGCAGGTGTTATCCATCTTTGTCACAGCAGGGGCAGCGCAGCCTGGACGTCCCTTTTCTCTGTGACCACAGCAGCCCTGAACAAACCAGGATCTGTCTTCCTGCCCAGATAGACCCACTGAAGTGAAATGGCCGTCCTCTACACTGCGTACCTCACTTCACAGTTTTCAGATAGCTTTCCCACTTAATCTAACTTGATTCTCACAGTAACCCTACCAAGTTGGTAGAGCTTATTCATGTATTAAAAAAAAAAAAGAACTGGGCTTCAGAATGATTAGGGTGCAGCCCTCAGGGTCGTTGCCCAGCTCTAAGGCAGAGCTGAGGCAAGAGTTCAGGTTTGCTGCTCCCAGAAGCTGAATTCTTTCTCTCACACTCTTCAAGAAATGAGCCCCCTGGCAGTGTCCAGGTACACTGCACATGACCTTGACCCAGCCCATGTGTGCAAGGGCCGGTTAGCTTTGTGGACGGAGTACAAAGATTCAAATTGTGGTGTCAAGGGGGGTCTGGATGAGGGTGGGACAGTGTTGGCATACACTCGTCCCTGCTCCTAGAAAAGGAAGAACGTGGGTCCCCGATTGGGTTAGAATGTGTGGCTCTTCTTCCAGGAAACATGTAGCATCCCTTGGTCAGACCTTTCTGCTCTGCTTCTAGAAGAGGCTCATGAGCTGGAGCTGGGGCTCCCCTCCCACGTCCATGCAGTGGGCACCCACCCAGGGCAGCCACAGCCACTTAGCCAAACACAGCAGGTTGATGTGGCTACTTAACCAGGACCTCTTGCAGGCCTCTTTGTGAGGGCATGAAGGAGAAAAGGCCATTGGGACAATTACTGCCTTTACTTTGGGGCTACTTTTATGCTGATAACTTGAAACTTCTTGATAGTCTTTAGTCCCAGAAACCCCATCTTTACTTCACGAGTTTTAGCTCCTAGTTCTTTACGTAAAATAAAATCAAATTCTATTGTGTAAGAGCCCACACATGCCCAGCTGTGACTGGAAGCTGTTTCTGGACAGCTTTCTACCCCCTGGGAAGTGATGGAATAGGAACTCAGGGTGCCCTTTCCCCCTCCCCTGACCTGATTCCTTTCTGTGACTAGGAGACTCCCATCTGGGCAAAATTAAAGCACCAAATGGTTTTCTTCTCAGTTCTAAAGCAGTACACCTTCCACAGGCTGGTCTGTTTCCCTGCCATTCTGAGTTATCTTGAGAGCAGAAATCACCATCTATCAAACGAGGGGTCTCATCTAGAAGACTTCTAAGGTCCCTTTTGGCTCTGACAGTGTAGGATTCTCTTAAGAATCCCCACTTGGAATTTACCATCACCTGGAAATTATAGGGTGTGTAAAAATATGATGACCAGCAGGTGACGCTGTGTTCCACCCGTGGTGATGGATGGTTTGTGCCTTCTGTGTCAAGTTAATGCTAAGATGCTAATGTTTTAATCGAAGGAAGCACTGATCTGATAATATAAAGATATGAGCTTTTCTCGCAGGAAATTTTCTTTGTCACAAAACCGGTGTCAAGAATCACTGAAGAGCCAACAATGATCGTCCTTCCAAGTCAAGATTTTATCCTGATTGAAAATAGAGGCCATCTCTGGCTGAGAGAGCACATTGGTTGGAAGTTTAACTTACCTCTTGCCAGCCTTTAGGGTAATTTGATTATGAAAGTGTGAATTTTCTGGACAGAAAAGGGGACGGTATCAAATTGGTTTTAAAAAAAACTAAGTTTAACGTCTGTTGTATCACAAGTCAGTGTTAAAACACTAAAACTGTAACCAAAATAAATGTCTTACATTACAAAGATATGGTCTTTTTTTGTTCTTCTCATAGTTGATTTTCTTTTATGCTTTTATGCTTAGCTCTTATGTCTGCATTTTCTAACTTTGCAAAATAATCATCATTTAAAAATTAGCCCTCCTGAGCTAGTTGTAGGTTCCACGACAATTATATTTATGCAGTGGATGTTCGTTGAACTTCTCTCCAGTGCCAGAAATTTCTTGTGTTAGGAGTATTCTATTCTATTCTTCTATTTTTATTTATCTTAATTTCAGCTTTATTGAGGTATAATTGACTGGAACATTCTTAAGTAGAGAGGCCCACTCCAAATGAGGGAGGTATGATTTAAGTTCCTAAGAAAGCAGGGGGTTGGGGTGACAGTCTCAAGGTGGACTCACATGAAGATGATTGAGTGGCATTAGGATTTGAGTGGTTCTGCAAACAGGCAGTCCCAGGTCATACCCCTGCCCCCAGATGCCTTAAATTCCACTGTTAGCACTATCTCCCTTATGATGAGCATTGCCTTTTTCCTATAAATAAAAAACGCAGAGCAAGTTGGGTGCCTTTTCTCCCACACAGAAAAAATCTGGGCAGAAAAAGAGCTTCTCTCGTTTCCAGTTCCCGATGTGTAGCGTGAGGTGGTTAGACTAGCTCAGTATTTGTCAAACCTCTTTGCAATATAATCTTCATATTTTTACACAAAATCTTAAGGCAGAGCACTGATATGTGAAACTGGTAAAAAGTGTGTTTAAAGTATAATTTTGAAAACATTTTAATTAAAAATGTAATACTGTATATACATAGTAATAAATTCAAACAATACAAAAGGCTTATAACAAAGAGTGAATCCTCTACCCCAAACCTTTAATCCCTCTCCCCAGAAGAAGCCGCTATAAAGTATATTCTTCTAGAAACATCTGACATGTATGTAAGCACACACATATGTATATGTGTGTATACACAGAGAGATCTTTTTCTCTATAAGTGGAAAATGTTCTGCACTTTGCTTTTTTTGCTTGACAACATCTTTTATCCACTGTTTCTTATAGTTCTGCCCCATTCCTTTTAACAGCTATGTAGCATTCCATTGTGTGTGGATGGACTGGGATTTCTGTATACTTTTATTTTAAAGGTCTGAGCTGCTTTCATGAGCACAGAATGTTGAAATGAGACTTACAGATGACAGTTGCAATTTTTTATCTGCCTTGTATCCTGTTACTTTCTGTCATCTGTTGTGGTGGCAGTGTCAAGCCCATCCCAATACTCAGAGCGAAGGAGTGTCCTGTGCTCGCTTGTGTCATTTTATGGGAGTGGACATGCCCAAGCCTAACTTTTTAAAAAGACAGTCTCCAAGCTATGGCCTTCTGAATTGACGCATTTATAAGGAGTTCAAATGCACGGAGATTCAGTTTCTGAGGTCTACGCTAAAATGAATTACCCTGGAGGCAGCACTGAATGAATGGGCGGTCTCTAGTTCATTGAAAGTAGATGCGTAACACATTTGATTAATGTGTGTGTATTTTTAAATAACGAAAATGTACTTATTTTTTAAACCGTGAGCTATCTCTGTGGAAACCTGGGGTTCGGAGAAACCTAGTTTGAAAGCCCATGAACTAGATGACCTTCCACTTTAATGTCCCCAGAGGACAGAGGCCTTGAGCGGCCACCCTGAGAGGAAGGAGGGCAGAGAGAAGAGGGAGGGAGGTGTTGAAATGGAGAAAGAAGAGTGGGGGGCAGGTGCAGCCGGGTTCTGGAGGGAGAAGACAGTCTCCAGACACACACGGTGACAAAGAGCCTCTCTTGGGCCAAACCTTTGTTAGGCTCCTCTGAGCTTTTTTCAACTGGGCCTCGACTTTTGGGTTTCCTTGTTCCTCACTGTATTATTCAATTTTAGTAAGAATCCTCCACCCTCCATATCTGATCACCCTCAATGTCTATTTGGGTTCCTCATCCCCCATGACCCCCCAGGTGAAGTCTGACCACCCTGGCCTGCCTTCACCAAGAATCCTCTTAGGTTGGTGTAGCCAAAATCACCCTTACCCCTAATACTTCCTCTTAGTAATTTTTCATTCACTGGCCCCCTCCCTGCTCCTTGGCTATAGACCCCACTTTACCTCGTATTCGGCGTGGAGCCCAATCTCTCTCCCCCACTGCAAGAGCCCATTGCAGTGGCCCTCTACCTCTCACCACAGTACTCCCTTGAATAAAGTCTTCTTTACCATTTTTAACAAGCATCATAAATACCTTGTTCTTTAACAAGAGTTTGCAGACAGGGGCTCTGCAGGCAGAGGGTGGTAGTTTGAATTGAATGGCAGTTGGGGAGGTGCTGGGGACGAGTCAGGGCCCCACCTTGAAGGGCATGGTCTGCCAGGCAGAAGGAAGTGGAAGGTTATCCTGTTAGGGCTGGGGGAGCCATTTGCCTATTCTAGGCAGGAGGGTGAGTGACAAAGCTCGTTGGAGCTCCTCCCCCTTGTCCCTCGGAAGCTGCTGAATGAACAAGGCGGGCGTTTCCCCTGTGCTGAGACCCCGAACTCTACAGAGAACAAGTTCTCAGCTTGAATAGAGACAGGGTGATGTGGACCTCCCTCAATGCAGGAAATGACCTGCAGAGATTGCTCTCCAAAGTCAGAGACTCCATTTTTTGTTGTTGTTTTTTTGCTTGAGGAAGATCTGCCCTAGCTAACATCTGTGCCAATCTTCCTCTATTTTGTATGTGGGTTGCTGCCACAGCATGGCCGCCAATGAGTGGTGTAGGTCCGTGCTCAGGATCTGAACCCCAGCCGCCAAAACAGAGCGCACTGAACTTAACCAGTAGGCCATGGGGCCGGCCCCCAGAGACTCCATTTTTACCACTGACCTGTGGAAGCAAAATCTGTTTAAAAATGGAGCCAATAAGGAGAATCCTCAGTTTCCACGAATTAGAGTCAGGGAGCTTGAGAACCAAGTAGACAGTGAAACTAGGTGACATTTGAGGTTCCTTTCAGATCAAAGATTCTGTGATCCTAAGAGGTCCAAGGAGCATAACTTACTTTCCAAATTTGGCCTGTCCTTCAAAGTCTGGTCCAAATGCTACGTCTTCCCGTGAGGATGCCAAGTCCACCTCAGCAAGGAAGAAATTATTCTCTCCTCCTAAGGCCCAGAACACTTTGTCCTTTTAAAAAAACGCATCTGAACCATTTCTCAGTGGTACCAATCACTTTCTACGTGGTATTGGAGTTATTTGGGTGGATAACTTATTAGTTCCCTGGTACAGGAGCTCCTGGAAGCCTGGTGGGAGGCCTTGCTTCATTAAATGTTTGGCAAGTGGATAGGCAGCTTGGTAGAAACCAGTAAATAATCACACAGAAAAACAGCTTCACTAGGAGTTAAGGTACAACTATTAAATTACTAAATTCAATTTAAAAAATGTTAACAGCTCAAACCCAGTGTGTTGGCAGCTTTGTGGAGAAACATGCTGTTATGGATGGAATTGTGTCCCTCCACAAGTCATATGTTGAATCCTAAGCCCTGGTACCTCAGAATGGGACCTTATTTGGAAGTAGGGTCCTTGTAGATGTAATTAGTTAAGATGAGGTCATTAGGGTGGGCCCTAATCCACTGTGACCGACATCCTTAGAAAAAGGGGGAATTAGGACACAGACGCACACCGGGAGAACTCATGTGAACATGAAGACAGAGATCGAGGTGAAGCTTCTACAAGCTCAGGAATGCTAAGGATGCCAGCAAACCATCAGAGGCTAGGGGAGACGCACAAAACAGACTCCTCCTCACAGCCCTCAGAAGGAACCAACCCTGCCAACACTCTGATCTCAGACTTCCAGCCTCCCGAACTGTGAGACAATACATTTCTGTTGTTTAAGCCCCAAGTTTGTGGTATCTGTTTCAGCAGCCCTCACAAGCTAATGCACGTGCCCACTTGTATGTCGCTGGTGGGACTGAGGAAATGACTGGGTTTTCTGGAGAACAACCCTGCAATATGTAGCAAAATCATTCACCCTCTCAGACCCAGCATTTGCTTCCGGAAATAACCCTAAAGTTAAAAAAAAATTACTTGGTTGAATACTACTCAGCAATAAAAAGCAACAAATTGTTGATACATGCAAAACTTGGATGAATCTCCAGAGAATTATGAGTGAGGAAAGCCAATCCTCAAAGCTTACGTACTGGTTGATTCCATTTATATAACATTTTCAAAATGACAAAATTATAGAAATGGAAAACAGGTTAGTGGTACCATGGGTTAGGGGTGAAGAGGGAGGGCTAGGGGAGGGTGGGTGTGGGTATAAAAGGACCACGAGAGGGATCTTTTTGATCACAAGTTGTTCTTCATCTTGGCCGTGATGGTGGACACTTGACCCCACACATGTAATAAAGTTGTATAGAACTAAACACACACACACAGGAGTACAGCTAAAATGGTACTCTCAATTTGATTGGGGGATTGTATCAATGTCCAGATCCTGGCTGTGATATTGTCCTATAGTTTTGCAAGATGTTACTTGAGAGAAACTGGGTAAAGGGTATACGGAATTTTCTCTGTATTATTTCTTACAAGTGTATGCAAATTTACAAAGATCCCAAAATAAAAAGTTTAATTCAAAAAATTACTTTGTACAAGGATGTTCATAGCATCCCTACTGAGGATAAGGGAGCATTGGAAATGCTAAAACCTAAACTACCTACAACAGAAGTCTGCTAAAACCCTGGGGGTTTAACCCTGGGGAATAGTGTCTAGCTCTGAACAACGACAAGCTTGTGGACTGAGTAAATAGAAAGCTGAATTAGCGTTAAGTGAAAAAGCAGATGGTATTATAGCAGGTTCTCTCTGAGCCCTTCTGTAAAAAGCATGGCTATACATTGGCAGAGAATAATTAAAAAAGAAGGAGATAATTTAGAGGTTCAAGTCCATTGGATTCTTCTCTTTTTTCTCTTAACATTACTTCAGTTTCAAATAAAATAATGATACGAAATAAAGCAATACTGAGCCTCTCCATCCTTCGGTCGCTGGCTCCTCCTTCCTTCTCCAGCAGGTGGCAGAAATGTTCCAAAGATGGCCCTCACAGTCGCGGGTTCATGTGGATGGGCTGGCTCCCAACAGCAGGTGGGGCTCCAGCATCAATCACGCCAGCTCAAGGAATCCAGGCGTCAGAACTGCCCTCTCTGAAGTCCAGGCCCAGAAGGCAGTTGTGCAGCCACGACGGGGTTAACGGTTCACATTCCAGAGCAAGGAGAAAGGAGGCTGGAGGGTCACAGACAAGGGGAGGGGGCACAGAGGGCCAGCTTCTCACAATACACCGGCTCTGTTGGGAGAGATAGATCACCCCCAACAATGGCCACAGCTGTTTTCGTCTGCCCTGAAGGAAACTGACATAGGAAGCAGGTATCAGAGAGGGCCCTTCCTGCAGAGGCTTCTGTCTGGCTTGTAAAACTGTCAGAGCAGCTGCATTCATGTGTCGAGTGATGGATGATGGAAAGAAGGAGGGACAGACGGCCGCAGATGGACACAGCGACCTACAAGTCGAGGCAGGTGGCAAAAGCCTGGCAGAGGCTCTGCAGGTGGGGCGTACTGATTCATGGCCCAGTGGAAATACCAAGGAGACCTAGGCCACAGCCCTCTTCCCAGCCTCCCTTCAGGGCCAGGAGTGGGCGCGGCTCCTCAAACAATCCATTTTGGATGAAAGCTTCCGCTGGCCCTCCTTTCTTTTCCTGCACCTCAGGTGTGAACCTTCCTGCCCCGTGCCTCTCCCTCTTCAAGGCCCCTCATTCTGCTCCAGGGCTGAGGTAGCAATTCCTTCTGGTTTCTTTGTGGCTAGCTGGACCTGCGATGGCTTCATGGAATGCAGCCCGTGACTTGCACCAATAAGCTTTTCCATCTAGCACTCAAAGCTGCTTTTGAAAACTGTGGTGGGCTGGGAGACAAGAAAAAAAATCTCAGCACTAAAAATGTTGGCCCTGGCTTTTGCTAAGAAAAGAGATTTTGTGCTCCCCACTCCTACCCACAGCCCGGCTGGGGAAATAACTGCCTTTGGCACATCAGCCTGCAAGCCCTAGGGTGTCCTGGCCATAAAGTGCCTGTCACCGTGTGCAGGATCCCCGAGGAGCATAAGCTGAGGTTTCCTCGAGCTCATCGCCAGAGCCTGCTGACTTGCTCATCCTGGCCTTGTCACCAGAGTCCCTGCCCCTCACCCAAGCAGGCATGTTCAGTGTGACCCCCCCCCCCCCCCGGTTTTCTCTCTTGCCTTCCAGAGGATGTCAAGAAGGGCTTTCTTGGTCAGGATAATGCTGAGCCTCATGGAGTTGGGACCAATGAGATTTCTTTTCTTTTCTTTCTTTTTTTTTTTTTTTTTTTGAGGAAGATCAGCCCTGAGCTAACATCCATGCCAATCCTCCTCTTTTTGCTGAGGAAGACCGGCCCTGAGCTAACCCGATGAGATTTCTTAAAAAGCATCCTTTTGCCTCTGTCTGGGTCTGTGGGGGCCAAATATACACCCCTAGGGCCATTTATTGGTGGGATGACAAATGCATTTGGCCTGAGAAATGGGATTGGCTGGGCTCAGCCCTGTGGAGGACTCAGAGCTGCAGTTTTCTGTGTTCAGCTGGTCCACAGTTTGTTTTGAGAAAGCCCGAGGGACCCAGGGAGGTAGAGATGAAGAGCCGGAACTCATTTGATATCCGAAAACCACAGCCGCCTGCACGTGGGAGGTGTTGGAGGGCAGGCTTGCCCCACACGCCCTGCTCTCCCTGGGTCACCTGGGAGCACCAGCAGCAATTTGGGAGTTTTCTGGGCTTGAGAAGAAGTCTTTGGAGAGGGCTTGCTCAGAGCACAGCCTGTTCCCTCCCCCTGGGCTGAGGGAAGCATGGGACCAGCCCTGCCCCAGCCTGTCCTCATTGGCTGGCATGAGGCAGAGGGGGCTTTAAAAAGGCAACTGTGTCCGGGCTGGGGACCAGAGCCTGTGCTCCTGGAAGGCTGGGTGCCCTCCTACGGCTGGCACCATGCAGCTCTCTCTCGCCCTGTGTCTCGTCTGCCTGCTGGTCCACGCAGCCTTCCACGTGGTGGAGGGCCAGGGGTGGCAGGCCTTCAAGAACGATGCCACGGAAATCATCCCTGAGCTGGGCGAGTACCCCGAGCCTCCCCCAGAGCCGGAGAACAACAAGACCATGAACCGGGCGGAGAACGGAGGGAGGCCTCCCCACCACCCCTTTGAGACCAAAGGTACGGGGGAGGAGAGACTCTGTAGCACATGGGTCCTGGTGGGTTCTCTGTGGGAGGTTTTGAAGACTGGGGTAGACTGTCAGCCACTGCCAGCACCGGTGGAGGGACAGCCTTGCCTGGAGGCAGGGGAAGGATGGCATGCCAGTGTAGCCTTGGAACTGGAGTGCAGGGGCATGAGGCTGGCAGGAGGCTGGCAGTGAGAGCCCGGGGCAGCAAGGAGGCTGAGGTGGTGAGGGTACAGCACTGGGACAGGCTCAGGGGCTCTGAAAGAAGGTTTCAAAGAATCCCCTCCTGAGAATAGAGGAGCACAGGTCCAGCTGCTGGCACCACTGGGGAGGGGACAAGGCAAGGGAGCCTGTCATCTGTGCACCTGCTGGAAGCCAGACACTCTACGCCACCGTGCCTGTCCTCTCCCCAGAGACCCACAGTGTGGGAGCCCCATGAGGGGAACTCCCAGTTTGAGGTGAAGAAACCGAGGCTCCAGAGACTAACTTGGTAGTGAGTAGAAGAGCTGAGATTTGGACCCAATTTGAGCCAATTCCAAGACAACTCTGGTGGGGGGATTGTGTGGGGGTGTTGGGGACCAAGAGCCAGAGCAAATCCTCGCAGAGAAGTGGGAAAGGGACGCCAGAAAGGCTCCCCGTTGGCCCCCCTGCCCACGGTCTGCCCAGTGAGCCGGCACTTGAAGGAACGGGGGTTGTAGGCACAGTTTTAGCCTCTGACCTAGGTGGCAGCTGGGTCCAGGGCCTGGAGAAGAGGCAGCATCCTCTGTGCAGGGAGTGGACACAGGTGGCACTGTCTGTCCTGAGTCCCCACCCCAGACCCAGCCTTGCCTCATTCCTGGGGAGGGAGCCTGGCCCTAGTGAAAAGGCAGTGGCCCCGGTGGAGGGCACAGCTGGGTTCCTGCTCAGGTCTGCACACAGGAGCCTGGGAGGCAGTGTGCACAGCTGGCTCTGCAGCTGGCAGGAATGGCTGGGGGCAGGGGCTGGAATGACACTTCAGAGTGAGGGCCTCACTGCCCTCTGGCCATTGTCCAGGTGGGAGAGGAGTCCACTGCCCAGGCTCCTGCATCCCATCCCTCCCCGCCTCACGACCACCTGGGAATGTGGGGCTCTGCAAAGGGCAACCCCAGAGAGGCTGGAGGACCTCAGGTCTTCAAAACGGGAGAGCAGGAGGCCCCTCCCCTGCTCTCCCCCAGGCAAGTTCACCAAGCTCCAGCAGTGGGCTGTAGGGGACTCAAGTACAAGACATCCACCTCCCTGGGCTCCCATGAGAGGCACAAGCCCCAATGAAGCCACGTGCTCAAAACAAAATCACCCTCTGCAGAGGAAGCGACTGACCTAGGGTCACTATTCTTGGAAAGACCCAAACTGCCTCCTTCCCTGGGCAAACAGGTCACTCCCACACACCACAGCCTGGGAGCAGGGGTGAGGATGCCAAACTAGCCCAGAAACCAGAAGGCCAGCCAGGGAAGGAAGGCAAACCCCACAACTCCCCTGCTGTGCTTGTCCTCCAGCACCTGGGGGGTGGGGGCCTGGCCTTCTCTTCCCCCTCTCTGGTTTTGCTCTTAGGACTATTTTCACCCCTTCGTGTCACATGGTAACTGTCCCCATGAGACCCTTGGGGGTAGACAGGCGCTCACATGAGGACCAGCTCTTTAAAAGGCTCCCAGCAGTCTAAGCCCACAGTAGGAAACATGATCAAGATGTCTTGGGGGGACCAAGCCAGGCCTCAGAGCCCAATCTCCCCGGACCCAGGGAGCAAGCCTGTCCATCAAATGGCCCAGCAGAGTGCCTGGTACACAGCAAGTGCTTAATGTTTGTGGCAGCCGAACCTGTAGGTTTTCAGTCCAAGCTTGGTCCTCCTCTGGTAGGGAAGTAACTGTAGTAAAAAGCAGCCCTTCGCCCCTCCCCCAGCCTAGCCTCCCATGGGTGCTCAGGCACACAGCTTCCACCCTTGTGGGAGCTGAGAGGTTCCGGGGTGCCAGGGAAGGGGAGTCAGGAGACCCAGGTCTGCCTTTTGAGCCAGCCCTTCTCCCTCTCTGGGCCTCAGTGTCCTCAGTGATAATGAGGGGGTCTGACAGGCTGCCTTTGGTTCCTTTCAAGTCGAAGGACTTCTCTCCACCTCCCCTTCCAGCCCTCTCCTCCCAGCAGCTGCCCTGACTTATTACCTCCAATTAACCCCTACTCCTGTCTCCATCCCCTCTCCACCCCTCCCAAGTGGCTGGAAAAGAAATTTGGGAGAAGCCAGAGCCATGCAGAGGGTGTGGCTACCACCTACCCTCCATGGCTAGGGACCCTGTGGCACAGGTGTGACTTCAGTCTGGTGAAGAGGGCCCCCTTAGAGACGAATAATAACAACACATAACAATAGCCAACACTTTCAGTTCTTACCACGCCCCTAGTGGCGTCCCCTGCATTATCTATGTAATGGGTTAACTCACTGAATACTCAAGACAACCCATTTTACAGATAGAAAGCACAGAGAGGTTAAGTAACTTGCCCAAGATCACGCAGTGATGGAGCTGGTGTTTGAACCACAGCAGTCACTGGCTCCAAAGAATTAGGGGGAGAGGGTGGGTCAGGGTCAGGGTGGGGCTTTCCACCAGCCCCAGAGTCCCTGGGCCCTTCCCATAATAACGCCCAGGGGCAAGAGCGTCTGGAGAGAGGCAGGTTTGGAAAACGCGGGAGTGGCGTGGAGGGAGCCTGGCCGGGCGGGGATCGGGGGCTGGGCCTGGCCGTCGCCCTCACGCGCGCCTCTCTCCGCAGACGCGTCCGAGTACAGCTGCCGCGAGCTGCACTTCACCCGCTACGTGACCGACGGGCCGTGCCGCAGCGCCAAGCCGGTCACCGAGCTGGTGTGCTCGGGCCAGTGCGGCCCGGCGCGCCTGCTGCCCAACGCCATCGGCCGCGGCAAGTGGTGGCGCCCGAGCGGGCCCGACTTCCGCTGCATCCCCGACCGCTACCGCGCGCAGCGGGTGCAGCTGCAGTGCCCAGGCGGCGCGGCGCCGCGCGCGCGCAAGGTGCGCCTGGTGGCCTCGTGCAAGTGCAAGCGCCTCACCCGCTTCCACAACCAGTCCGAGCTCAAGGACTTCGGGCCCGAGGCCGCGCGGCCGCAGAAGGGTCGGAAGCCGCGGCCCGGCGCGCGGGGCGCCAAAGCCAACCAGGCCGAGCTGGAGAACGCCTATTAGAGCCAGCCCGCCCGCCGCGCCTCCCCAGCCGGCGCCCCAGACCCAGGCGCCCCAGGTTCCTGCCCTCCGCGCGCGGTTTGATTGTTTGTATTTCCTTTTAAATGCCTGCAACCCAGGGCAGGGGGCCGAGACCTTCCTGGCTTCGGCAGGAGGTAGCTAGGCCCTGCGGATCCTGGGTGCCTGCAAAGCCCCCCTCTCCCCACCCGCTTAAGGGGTCCCGCAGGCCGGGGAGGGAGCTGAGAGTCACAGACACTGAGCCACGCAGCCCCGCCCACCGGGGCCGCCTACCTTGGCTGGTCCCACTTCGAAGGAGGCAGAAAGGGAAGCATTTCACCGGGTTTTAAGGGAGTAGTGGGGAGTGAGAAAAGGCCGAGGACCGGTTAAGAAAGTTCCATAAGATTCCCCCTCTACTTCTCTGCCCGTCGTGAAGCCTTTAGTGCCGCGTTGTGCCAAGAACACAGGACTGGGGTCCGTAGACAGGGCTTCTAGTCCTAGCTCTGCCCCTAAATTGCCGGGTGGCTACCCTCTTCTCTTTCTGGACCTCGATTTCTTCTGTAAAATGGAGGTAGGGAATGGAATTAGGATCTCGAGGAATCTACTGGCGTCTGATCGCAAAGACTCGAGTGCCCTTTACATGGGCAGGGAGAGAGAGAGGTTGGATTGAATTCCAGAATTCTGAGTTGTAATCCTCTGATCTGGCAGCCAGAGATGAAAAACAAGCAGGAAAAAAGAAAGGAATCTATTTAAAGCTGACAAACTCTCCAAGGATGCGGTGTTGTTTCCCAGCCTGGCCTCCCCAGATGTTTGGCTACCTCCACTGCTCCATCTGAAAGGATGCGGAAACAACACCATCAATTGGGATAGAGAAGGAGAAGGTCCCAAGGGTGGCAGGAGGGACAGAAATCACCCCTCTATTCCCAAAGAGCAGCCCGCCGCCCCACCCCTGCCATGGCCATATTTTAAAGTCACCTTCTGTAGAGAAGCTCAGGGTCCCAGGACACTGGGTTTGCAGGCCCAAGGGAGCAGCCAGCAGATCCCTTCTGAGGCATCTCCTCCTGCCTTCCATCCACTGACACATTTCTGTCCAGAAAATAGCTTCTTCGTGCTGGTACATGTGATGGCATTTCTTACATTAAAATAATATTACTGGGGAAAAAATGACAAGTGCTGTACATATGCTGAGAAACTGCAAAACCTAATAGCTGCCATCCAAACATCTTTTTGAAAATCATTTCCAGGCACCTCTTACTTTCTGTGTAGTTTTTAATTGTTAAAAATTTTTTTTTTCTAAACAGAAGCACATGCTGTGTGAAAGCCTGCTGGGCTGGTCGTTTTTGCAGTCCTTTCATGTGGGATTTGTCCGCAAGAATGAAAGTAGTAGTTTTTAAAAAGAGTTAAGTTACATATTTATTTTCTCACTTAAGTTATTTATGCAAAAGTTTTTCTTGTAGAGAATGACAATGTTAATATTGCTTTATGAAATACCAGTCTGTTCCTTCAGAATCCAGAGGCATTGTTAATAAAGACAATGGATCATTATGGAGAGGATGTGGTCTCATTTTGTCAACCACACACAGTCATTTCTGTCAAAGTGAACATCCTTCTCTTGGTCACTAGGGCTACAACCTTGGACGTACTTTGCGCTGTGGTGGCCCTTGTGGCAGTCTTTCCTTTGAAAAGTCATGTTTGTCCTTTCCTTTCCAAACCTGGACCTCATTCCTCATTGCCTGGCCATTGTAATCACCTCAGCCTGCTCTCCCTTGAGCAGCCTGCCCTTCATGCTGTCTTCTAAAATCGTTGTTCTCATCGTGCATACCCCTGCTCAAGATCCTTCAACAGCTCCTTCTTGCCCAGGATCAAGTTCGGGCTTCTCAGTCTGACATGTAAGACCTTCCCCTGCTTGACTCCCATCCCCCTCCCCCTCCACGAAGCTTCCGTACTGACTCCAAGTGGCCACAGGCTGTACTGCTGTACTGCTCCCTGCCTCCTTGGTTTGCTGCCCCCACTGACCACCCGCGACAACTCCTGCTCTTTTTGGGGGGTTCATGTTTCTTGTCACCTCTTCCCTGATTCTTCCAGAAATGTTCCAATCCCGCTGATCCCTCTCTCCTCGGATGTGCAGCCCCTTTTATCCATGCCACTGCTTTGATCCCTGAGTCTCTGTCTTACGTTTGACGTTCATTCTTGGATCACTTTGTCTCACCTGGCCAAGTCCTGCTTAGTACCAGGATAGACACCGAGCCCAGTACAATTCAGGACCAGCTCACGGGGAGCTCAGTCAAGCTTTTTTCTCAACGTGAGTTTCATGCCTCCCTGGTGAAGGTGTAAGCTCGTCGCAAGCAGGGACAATGTCTGGCACTTCTCTCAAAGTCTTACCACCCAAGGTGCCACATAGTGCCGGACACTAGCTGAGACTCAAGAACTACTCTTCTGTTGCCATAAGGAGGGATGATCAATAGCAAAGTTTTAAATCAAGTCCATCCCATCTTGGGGTAACCGCACCCCAAGAGCCCTCCTCACCCCCCAAAGTAAGCTGAAGTCCTCCCAGATGACTTTCCACTGTAATTCCCAATGAACTGTCATAAATTTATTACCATCATCAACAAGTCTTTGAGAGGTGTCAGTGGGTGTTGCTGCCTCCAGCTCCGAGGTGGCCTCAGTGAGACCCTGCAAGGAATCCGTGCATTGTGAGGAGTGTCCCAGAGCTTGGAACAGGAGAGTGGGTAGGAAATGGATACATTGTCCAGCCCCCGGAGGCAATGTGCTACAGTGGCTGGGACATGGGCCCTGGAGCCATGTTTGTGTTTGATCTGAGGCACCAAGGGGTTAAATGTTTTGTCCGCAGCCAGGGGTGGGCTCAGTTCCCAGCCCTGACACTCACTCGAGCTGCTCAGAGCCTGGTGGGCACGTGGGCAAATAGGTCACATTGTTCTGTACAAAGTGTTATGGGACTAAGGATGAGAGTAATTCATTCTGTGGTGGGGATGAGGGATAAAGGTTAGCGAAGGTTTCACAGAGGTGGGTGCTGCTTAGAGGCTGGCCATGTGGAGAAGGGGGCACAGGTATTCTAGGCAAAGGCACTGAGGCTGAAGGCGCATGGCTGTTCGTTGGGGGATAAGACTCGATCCAGCACCCTTCCTCAACGTGTACTGAGTCTTTGCCTGCGCCAGGCAGTGTTGGGGAACCAGGAATTCCAAGCAATGCCCCAACACCAGATATACCTAGGGTCTGCTTTCCTTTTTTTGTGTGTGTGAGGAAGATCAGCCCTGAGCTAACATCCATGCCAATCCTCCTCTTTTCTCTGAGGAAGACTGGCCCTGAGCTAACATCTATTGCCAATCCTCCTTTTCTCCCCAAAGCCCCAGTAGATAGCTGTATGTCATAGTTGCACATCCTTCTAGTTGCTGTACGTGGGACGCCGCCTCAGCATGGCCAGAGAAACGGTGGGTCGGTGCGCGCCCGGGATCCGAACCCAGGCCGCCAGTAGTGGAGTGCACCCACTTACCTGCTAAGCCACGGGGCCGGCCCCTAGGGTCTGCTTTCTGAGACCCAGAGATCCAGGAGGGCTCAGCCCAGGCTACAATCCCATTACCATGAGGGGAAAAAACCCAAAGGCTAAATTGTAGGTCAGGCTAAGGGTTATTTATGGAAAGTTATATTCTACCTACATGGGGTCTATGAGCCTGGCGCCAATCAGAAGCAGACCAGCCAGGAGGCTCAGCTGGGAGGGGCAGTGTGCTGCGGGGAGCACACATTCAGGGGTGCAGCCAGGACGGGCTTGTGTTAATAGTCTGAGAGTCAGACAGATAGAGGGGCAGAGGGAAATAGGTCTCTCTCTCTCTACCTCTCACACACACACACACACACACACACACACACACTCCATGGGTCTCTATCTACACTGCGAGTACGCATCAGGCCACTTTTGCAAGAGGAGGTAGAGCAAAAGAAACTCAAAGAAGCCACAGGAATCCAACCTTCCCTGCTGTCCTTGAAGTAGGCAGGACTCGGGCAGCTGCGGGGGGCGGGGGGTGGAGAGCCTGCAAAAGCTACCCGTGTCAGCCGAGCTCAGAGACGCAGCAGCTGAAAGCTGGTGCCGCGTCCCACACCCGCCCGCCTCCCACTTGTTCCCCGACACAGGCCTCCCCTGGTTTCTAAGTCCTGATCACTGATTCTAGCTCTGGGGACGGCGTAGTCCTGCCCACCCCTCCTCCACCCCCCCATCCTCCCACTTCCTGGACCATCCTCTGTCTTCTCCCTTGTCCGAAGGCAGGCAAAGGCTCAGGTCTCTGGCGGCTTTGACCAATAGCTGAAGTTCCTTTCGTGGCTAGATGGGCAGGAGGCAGGGAGACTGTTGCTCTTAATTAATGCAACCATGTACCTCGTTTGCCAGGCATTGACACCTATTGACTCAGCGTAATTATTAACAGCTCCCACTTTTACTCTCAAAAGTGTCCCAGTTTGGGCAATACACTATATGGTTTCCCTGCTATTAACAGATGCGACTTTCTGTGGAATGGCTGGGCCACTTCCAAACGCTGCTCCCTCTGTGTGGGGTGCTCCCTGCGTGCCTACTCAAGGCCTGTCACCCTTCAGGTCTCAGACAAGTGTCACTCCCCCTGACAACCAGCCCAGTCCAAATCCCTTTGCTTTATCTTCTTAAGCAATGCTCCCTTCCTTCAGAAAGCTTATCTCAGCACAGTCAGTTGCCCGTAACAACATTTCAGTCAATGACAGACCACATATACGGTGGTCCCATAAGATGAGTACCATCTAGCCTAGGTGTGTAGTAGGCTACACCATCTAGGTTTGTGTAAGTACACTCTGTGATGTTCACACAATGACAAAATCGCCTAACGTCGCATTTCTCAGAACATATCCCTGTCATTAAGCGACACATGACTATAGTTATGTACTTAGGGATTTATTCATATAAGTATTTGATTAATCTCTCCTCTTCCAGACTATAAGACTCAGGAAAGCAGTGACTCCTCTTTGTTGTTGCTACCAGGTCACCCCCAGTACCCAGCATACAGTAGGTGCCTCATATGCATGTGGTTGCATAGTTGTTGTTCAGTTTATTTAGGATTTCTTCTCTTGTGAGATTAGGTGGATGGAATGGACTGGGATATGTGGATGATGGCAGGAGGAGGGAGGGGAATATCTGACTTTTGTGAAAAGAGGCTGTTTGCCCGGATAGTTTTATATTGGGTCTCTGAGGATGAGACGCAGCTCCTACCCTCAAGCAGTTTCTAATCTTGCTGGGGAGTTGAGTGGAAATGAGGGCACGAGGTCCCGCTGTGGAGTATGTGCTCATTTGCCACCTGAGTGGTAGAGACCTAAGGGGGTGGGGGCTTCAGGGGAGCAAGGCAGGGGTGGCGGTGGGGTCCAGCTGAGATTTGAAGGCCGTCAGGATGTGGAGGGGCAGAGAGGAGAGGCAGCGTAAGGAAACGGGGCACACACCAGGTGGGGTGGGGCGGTGGCAGCACGGGACCTGGCACGTAGTGGGCTCTCTC